ATTATGTTAAAAATCTACCCAAAGTTTAGTATCATTAGAAAGGTAATAACGTAAGCTACTTTGTGAAATGGAAGAAATTCAATGAATTGTTATGAACATAGAAAAAATTTGCAATGAACGTCAGCGCGCGCTGTAATCATAATTTTGGCCCACCCTGTAATTACTAGTTTGGGCGTAAAGAAATGTTGTCGTATTTTTCCATTGAAAATCGGAGATAACTCGTCCCTGGGGGATTCCGGTGACACCCTAACACTGTCCTTTCGTTGGAGAGCACTTTCGTTTTCATGGAAAATTCATATTCATTTGGAATGAATGTGATTTTTTTGAATCTCCCAGTGGCAACCAGCTTTACCATCGTCCTCATTGCCTCAGCCACCGCAAATAGCTAGCGGATAGAGCGAGGGGAACCGAGATTGATATACACCCCATAATGACGGGGTGCTGGTGTTGGTCGAGTTTTTCTAAACGAATTCAATTATCGTCTTTTCAGCTGCGCCTCATTCGCCTATTTACCCCTATGGAATCAACTTATGCATCATTATTTTCCGCCAAAAAATTTCACAGATCGGTGTTGGCAACCAGATGCAGGTAATCGATAAATCGATATATTGATTATCTAGATTGATGAGAATTTCAATTTTTCATTGAATCAAAAAAGAATTTCTGCGAGTACAATGAATCGTATAAGGAAAACGAGATTCAATGGAATTCATAGCGAATACTTATAAATTCAATCAATTATCGATTGATCTAGGTATCGGTACCGTACCCTGCACCTCAGCATGTTTCACGCTTGTCGAACGTATCGATCAGCAAGATTGTGAGTGCATCTGCATCTCTTTTTCTTTCTACTACAGTTTTGTTGACATATTTACTTGTTTGTTTATTTGAATCAATTCGAGGGTGAGCCTCCTACTTCAGGGAGGCACACAGTGGCATGATTATGGTCATTTTTAAGGAAAGTCCATTTAGGCTCAAGTAATGTGTCCTACTGTAATTATTGAATTCTTAAATTATAAGAATGATGCGGACCACTCTTCAAACCGTTACCAAACCTGAGCACGCCTCGGACTCTGCAGCAGCAGTATCCTTCGGTTTTTGGCCAAGACTAGTTGCCATACTGTATAGGCGGTGATCGAAAAGTGATAGTAACGCACGTGTATACCACACTGAGTGGCTTACTCACTACATTAATAAAAGGAATCAAGAAAAGCGGAATCCAAAGTCATTGTAGCGCCTTCTCCATCCTCAGGCTTTAGCAACGTGTCTGTCTGGCTAGTGGCTCCAGCCTCTGTCTCTCTTCAGAATCTGCCCTTCCACTGTTTTTGAGGGAGTGTGTTATTGACTCTATTCATATCCCAAGCCCTCTTCTTCCGTTAAACAATGGATACTTCATTCTGCTAGGCACACACACAATAAGCAGAAACTTCTTGTCTGTTCTCTTCGGATTCTCTTTGAAGGGGTTATCGGAACGATTTGTTATTTTGCCTTTCGGAAACGATTCCACGATTCCATGAAATCCGTGGAGGTTGAAAGCCGTTTTTCAGAATAAAACTCTCTGTTTTTCTGGAAGTCACCGATTATAAGCATTGGTCACTTATCAGTCCAAAAAAGAGATCTTGAGTCATTTTTCACACAGTCTGCGCTTTTTTNTTTTTTATCGATTCTCCGAGTATATTCACCGCTTGGGATCAATTTTTGTGAAGATTGGGGAACAACTCGCCTTGGCAGGTAAGTTTCCGTACGGGCCATACCTGCCAAGGTGGGCATATGACAGCACAGACTTGAATTTCGCGGGGTCCCTTTCGGATCTAGGTATGGTCGAACATGCACTAAACGCTGCCTTTTCCTAAAGAGCAATCGAATGCTCGGCTTAACCCCTACAAATAACTTGATTGACACCTAATGCTACAACCTTTCATCCTTGCCAATTGCCAGCCGACTGAGTCGCAGCGTTCTTTCCTATTCATTAGCCATCATCTGGTTACCGATTCCGGGGATATTTGACAAGCGCTCCATGCATGGACCACCAATGATAATGAAATCCACAACGCCACGATCAAATAGCGTTTCACTTATGTCAAACGCTTCGAATAGTTGGCTTGTTGCCAATTAAGCATCACGAACATAATTTCATACCAACATTCATGCAACTTAAAGAGCAATTGATAACGTAGTTATGGCTTATACGACTGTTTTCATCTAATTACCAAACTACTCTTACAGTAATCTACAGTATCCACAATGAAAACCTTAACCTTGAATGACAATCGCTGCAATATAATCTGAAACGTTGATCTCGTCATTTGGCCCTGCACCCCTGATTTCTGCACCGAGACATTGTTAGTGGAAAATTACCGTAAATGGCTTGAATCAATCGATATATTGATCGATCTACATCTATATTGAATGCCGAAGGACGTTACTTGGTGAACTAATTTATATAAATGGATGAGTGACAAAACTCGTCAGTCGGCAGTGAGTCCACCACGACCTTCGTTGACGGCCTCCGATAAGTAGACAACTAGTTGTTTGAGTTATTACATGCCCTTAAAGTCCTATGATCGATGGCCCGGTATTCGAGAGAATTGCTCAGCGACCGATTGCCCACTTCTCTTTGTTACGGCTCCTTTTTTTAATGGTAAAAAGGGCTATGCTTTGATGCACTGGCCGAGGGACTCTTTTTGAAAGAGTCAAGCATAAAATGAGAATTGCTCTTCTTCTGACTCCAACCAGAAGGCTGCCATGGGTGAATGATTTTGGAAAGCCATAGTATGTGCATGCGACATGGCCTGGCACCTGGGAGTTCGAAAAAACCCCAGTGATCAAAACTTAGAAGTGATAACCGAGAAAGGAAATTGTACCTTTTACTTTTGCCTAGAAGGTCAGCCAATGAGGTTCTGAGCAGATGTTTTTTCTCGAAGGACGAGGAGGAGGTAGTGTCGTGGCACCATTACATACCCATGATTCGGGTATCAGGTCGTATCTCAGATCGAAACCCATTCAGGTCGACCGAATCTTTTCCATTTCTGGGGGGTAGGTGAATTGGAAACAGACTTGTTTAGGAGGATATAAGTGCTGTCTTGCACATCGGCAACTCATTGTTTGGGCTGCTTACGCATTCAAAACTCCACCACGATTTTAAATTGAAGTCGAATGCGAGGGCGTATCTCGAACAAATATTGATTAGCGTTGGAAACTTTACTATTGACTTATTTTTCTCGACTGTTACTTTTCTCGGAGCCATTCCTGCAGCAAAAAATGCTCTAATGAGAAAACCATCATTTGATAGGACTCCGAAATAGAAAATTTCAATCTCATTATTCATTGTGATGTTTGGTGTGTTCACTGATGCACGCCACGCCTTTGGCTTTCTCTTAAAATCCAAGAAATACTCGGGGTGCATTATTCCCCTTAGGTGAAGTACATGTGCTTGACCGTTCTTCGGATGCATAAGAGATCTGGGATTGAATTTCCAATCAGAGAATCATACTTTCGAAGATTTTCTAAGTCTAGTCGTCCGAACGCCAGCTCTGTAAAGTTTTGTAATCCTGGGAAAGCTGAAGCCAGTACAGTCACAAACCAGAGTTTGAGAAAACCTAAACATGGTCGACTTTCAAGGTAATGTTCACCATGCCCTTCAGGAGTTTCCCAGTTTTCTTTGCTGTAAAAGTTTTCAGCAGCTCTGGGGAAAGGCCAGGAAGGGTATGCGTGTTGGCTTCGGGTGGGTGCTTTTGTTCGGAAGCTCTGAAGTGGGCAAATTTGGGTATTCAGGCGTCTCTCGGCTCATCACTGAAACCAGAACAGATGTGACTGCAACAAATCAGTGAAATAGTAGACTAATATATTTAGTATAGTACTTTTTTATAGTCATATTTTTGCACTTGATAAGGCTGGGGTAAAGTACAGGTTTGAATCCCGTCCAGAGCCGAAGTTTTGCCTACAAATCGCCATCCTTGAGAGACTATCAGATTTAGCTTTGATCACATTGGATTGGATTTGATGAACTGGGCCATTGGAAACTTTGACTTTGGGGACTTTTATGGCTGGGGATTGCTTTGTCAAAGGATGGTTGTTCAGGGCTCAAGATAAATCACTCTAACAAAGAGCAAGAGGCAATTTAGCGATGCAATTTTCTCAAAAATACCTAGCCTCCAAGCCATTTAATCATTGGCAAATGAACAGGAGCTGAAGGCGACATCGAGGTTTTTTCCAAATGGCTAGGTTAATGGCAAGCGTTGCAGACCATGAAGTGCCTACCATTAAGTAAAAACACCGTAGATGGCCTCAGCAAGCCACCGTCCAGGCCATGTATGGTCAAAACGTCACTGCTCTTCTGGACTCAAGTCGTCGCATGGACGCATTTCGAAATTGGTTTTGTCAAAGGATAAACTCCTCTCAATTAATCCCGTCTGAGGTACGCGCCTACGCATTCGACTTCCACTCAGAATCGTAGTGGTGTATTGGATGTGGATGTGGATCATACAATGACTTACGGTGGCCAGCCGTCGTACAAGTCAGTGCTTTTATCCTTCCAGACGACCCTGGTACCAATTAACCGACCCAGAGGGCTGGAAGGTTTGGTTGGCCTAGGCGGGTACCGATCCGGGATTCGAACCCCTGACCGTGCGTGTGAGATGGGGCGTCACTAAATCCCCTCTGCCTCATGAGATCGATTAATACCGAATAACTTTATCTTTTACCCTTTATGTCATAAGATTTGATTACTGACCTCTCATAAGATATCTAATAAAGTAAGTAAAAGTATAATCGTTAGTATGGTAGCTAGCCCATGTCATGAAGCAACTTTCGTATGAGGAACCCAACTATACGCTATTGAAAAAGGGGTGAGTTTCGAAACCCTCTTTCCGATTGGATGATGATTTCGACGTTTTTCCAGAAGGGGAAACTGAAAAGGAATATAAAATTGGAGCGTTTCCCCTCAGTCCTCATTCATTTTAGTTAATTTTTTAAACTTTTTTTTTTAAATTCACCTCACAGCACATACTGTCTCGTCTTCCAGTAGAGCAAGAGTGGCCAATTCTGCATGTTACAACTTCACCTCGAGGAATAATAGCTGAGAATAGCCCCCAAATATCTGAGAATAATATATGTGCATAATATTTATATGAAGTATCCAGTCATTATCTTGTTCTGTCTCTCTTTCCCTTGTTCATTTCAATTAAAAAGATTGATTTGAAATATCGATTGGTGGGCGTAGAAATTCCGCTGTCGTCTGGTTTGGCTTCAATTCCTAATAAGCATAAAAACAACTTTATTGCTGACCTTTGAAGACGTCAATGGCAGTCCAGTCGAGCCGTAGCTATGAATTAATTAACTGAGGTTGATTATGCACAATTAGCATTAATTGCGTGCTCGCTGCCTGCCTGGGCATCGTGGCAGCAGCGATACCGATACCCTCATGTAAGCGGATGAATTTTACCTAGCTAGGAGGTAAGTATGCAGTAATCGGGTCCGTGGGTACATCTTACTCTTGGGTTCTCCTCGGCTCAAATGTGGCCCCTCTAGAATGAACAGCTCCAAGATCTAGTCAGTAGGTGCCCTACATGGACCTGACTGGGGATGTTTCAAGTGTGAAGGGCAACCAAGTCACTTTGGAATTCATGTTCCTAGAAATTCTCCACTGCGAAACAAAACTGGGTGGAATTAACCAGAAACGGGAAAAACATCTTCATCCGCCCATGTTGTTAATGATAACTCATTCCCAGATGGGAGGCTTTTTTTTGAAACAGTAGAGGTAAAATTTCAATTCTGCTGCGCTACATTTTGAGAATGATTATTTTTNTTTTTGTATATTTCATTTTATTTACAGTATTTTGCATGGATTCGAATTGAATAATTAAAAAAATTAAATTATTAGAAAAATCATTATGCTGCAAGACATCTGAAATGATTGAGCCTCAGCAACGAGGAAATCAGTTCTGTCGGTACACAAGCTCCCTTCTCCCCTCCCATTTGATGCCTTCCCGGGAAACAGGTACAGGGACCAATACGCTGTATAAGGCAGGTAATCTGATGAAAATTCTCACATGATCTTTCGTTTTGCCTCCCTTTCTATACGACCCCACCCTTTTCAAATTAAAGACAGCCCCCTCCTAATCCTATTACAGGGAGCTCATCAACAGATAACTCCCTCCAGTTATACTGTTCCCACATTTCCCAGGACATCAAAAATGGTTGTGTATTGAACAGCGTTGGGGATACCACCAGACCCACCCACAACCGTGCTTCGAGTTCTTAGTGTTCCCACCCAACTGAATTATGCCCATTAGCTCTACTCTACAGATACCAAAAACTGGTAAGAGACTGAAGGCCTACCGTAAGCCAACAAAATAGAATTATATATCGGAAGTTTTATTTGTTCAGACAATATGGTAATTTTCCAGTATCCTAGGATACGATGGCCATTGATAAAAAAAAGGGCAGTAGGGCGATTCGATTCAGAGTCCAGGCAATGTCCTCAGTGCTTACATCTGCAACCACATAGGACCTGAACGGCTGATCAACAGTAGAGCCGCGTGAGCCAAGCTCGTTACGGCCTTCACATTTAGTCCATGTATGCATGGGTATATGGGCAACAGCCTAGCTCCATGCCAATAATTCATAGTAAATGCTGTCCCCCTTGAACGTCGAAATGACTAATTGCTACGCATTGACACGGTTATTGACTCCAACGAAATGCCTAAATGTTACTCAGTAAGATATCGATTTGAAATAATGACTGATTGGCATGGGAGGTTTTTCATTGGGGACAGGCTGCTTTGGGTGGAATGAAGTGTGAAATTCACCTTTGTAGGGTATTTTCAAGAGTCTCTGTAGTGGAATCAAGAAGTGCTCAATTTGCTTTACAAGTATAGGTAATACTTAAGCCCTCCATCATGTCAATCGATCGAAGTTATCGATTTCCGAATTAGTACCTCGTAAGCAGTCGAGAGACTGAGGCAAAAAAGGATTGAACTCAAAAGAGTTGTGGGACTAGCAATGTGCTTCGCCCATGTCTTTTTGAAGCTGCTGAAAAAGGTTCCCCATACCCTCCCTGCGCCAGATTCAGAAAATACGGTATTATTTTTTTTATTTTCACTCAAATGAAAACTTTATGGCAGTTATAGTATTTATAGCATATGGAGCCCATTTTCGCCTACAATTCATCCCAACTTACTGGTACAATTTCAGTTTTTACTGAACAACGAGGTGTGCTACGAGGATGTGTCGATCGACTATTGTTATTTGGTCTAGACGATGATGTTCGGAGTGTTCTGTCAGCTTACACCAGCCAGCGAGTGTGCAGAGAAACGAATCGGAAAATTCTGCGTCTCTACCCGTTGAGCACCGATAGTGATGTGGTAAGTCATATCGATTGGTTTCGTATGTAGCAAATACGCGCTTGAGGGCATCGAAAGCTCAAAGGTTTCTGATCGGGGAAGGTCCAAGCGCTATTTGGCAAACCACAACTAGGAAAGGATTACTACTGTGAATACTATGGTAGTGGCACTTCGTCCCAAACTGCTCCTGGACCCAAACCATAAGCTGTCCAAACGCACATTAGACCCCAGGAGTATAAACCATACGTGCTTACAAAGGTACTATGCTGGTAAATAAAATTAGTTTTGAACTTGGTCCCTTGGTCGGAACTTCCTCTCTTGGATGGAATGAGCAAGCGCAATTATTCGCTAAATCTGACCTTCGTAGGCGAATTTCGACTTCTAGAAATTTCGATTTTTTCATTAATCTCTTCTATATGCATTGGCTATTCATTGCCAACATATGACACAGCGATGCTCACAAATTCAAGCAATTAGACGTCATTCGACGTGGGCCCCTACCATGATGGGATGATTTATGGGAGTACATACATATATGTACTAGTACGCTGGATTCACTAGGTTTAACTGAAAGTTCATCTGTATCATATATGGCCAGAGTAGTATTAATAGCTACAACCAGCTATAGCCACGTCCACTAGTGTCCGCTCCCTCGACGTTTGACGCATTCCCTAAAGACTGAACACATCAGCGCACAACACGTCCTTTGACAAAGCGAGCATGGGTATTTTACAATCTGACTGTAAATAGAATCTTCCCTTTACCTGTGTCCTTCTGCCAAAAGAAAGATAGAACTGTGAATTGTCGCTAGGTTTTGGTGAAACGAAGTTAGAGTGATTCTATGTAAGCGTTTCGTCGTATGAAGAGCACGCCAAGGGGTATTCAAAGTACTGACACGGATAAGGGAATCTAGTACAGTAAGTCGGCTTCTATGTAAACTCGCTGTTGGTTCTTGCTGACCTGGTTATTGGTATACAGCAGCGAGCTAAGATCTTTTTCTGAAGAGTCGTATATTGAACGATATGGCTGCTTTCATAGTCCGCCGGCGTGCCGGCGTGCCGGCGCGCGTGCCGGCGGAGGCAGTGCTAGCGTGGAGGAGGGAGGCAGACAGATAGGCAAACAGTCCACGCCCCTTCGAGGGGTTGAAAACAAACAACCTTCGAAGGGGCGTGGACTGTTTGCCTTACACTGTCTGCCTCCCTCTTCCCCCCTAGCACTGCCTCCGCCGGCACGCACGCCGGCGGACTATGAAAGCAGCCTATGAGGAAATGTAAAATCGAATAAGGTTATGTCATGGAGCAAAGTACATTGTCTGCAGAACTCTATGTCCAATGGATTTTTATTCCACAGTGAGGTCGCTCCAGGAAATGGGTCCCCAAACTGAATTTTGTGCTACTGTGTACACTAATTGTAAGCAGTAACATCACAAGCTCAAGGCTAGTTCTGACAGGAAAACATTTCTAAGGATCAAGCATGGGGTAAAATCTCCCTAACAGTCTTATTGACTCTCATGTATTCTATGAATTACCAGCTGCCATAAAACGATCTAATCAGTTGTTTTATGATTAATTGCGGCAATTATCATGAAAACAACAGTGCGAAGCCATAAAGTGCTTTCCAAGTGTTTAACCGATCTCTTAACCAAGGTTTTTCCTAAAAAAGGGAATGAACCTTGTGAGTGAACCCTAACTAGGACAAAGTACCTTCCACATAGTAATTCTACAGAAACCTCGTCAACGTTTTCAATCTGCGATCATATGCAATAATATTATTTACGACATGACTTAGTGAATACGTGTAATGTGATTTCGTTTCACTGAAATAGGCTTAGGCATTAACGCTGGGGGTCACCTTGGAAACACCGTCGGACTCTAACCAGCCAATGTCAGTTCGAATCTCATTTCCAAGGGAAATGACTCGACTGAAAGGTTACATGGAACTAATGGTATCCTCCTTTCAAAAATGGGACAGCTGCTAAGGGAATCTAGAAAAGGAAGAGTAGGGAAACATAGGCACCAACATGGGGCAGTCTCGAAGAAGGCCTGTGGAGCCCAGGAACCTACGTTCCACTTGGAAATTCGCCAAATACAGCCATGACTATCAAGTACGATCTCAGAATCCATTTATTCGTTCAATTATTCCGTTTTCCCCGAATTGGTCGACATCTTCCGAGGAAAACATTTCTCCCTGAAGTCACTTTGACTTTTAAAATTTGTTTGGGAGTAGTTTGTTCTACGAAGGACTAGGCTATGAACATTCCACTGATTTCCCTTTCACGACATATAATTAATCAATTATGTAATTAAAAATATGCAGAATGTCCGACTGAATCGATACATGGATTCCTTTCCTTTTTGTTTCTTTTTAATATAGGACATTTAGCGTCAAATTCATCTCGTTTGGGCACTTTTACTCATTCTATATGCATGCAGCGCTAGGCTTGAGTTGTGATGAATAAGACTAAGCTCCTGGCTGAATATTCTGACTTTGCACTTTTAAGGAAAATCCTATTCGTTAGGAGACGGGAACGAAAGGTGAATGTCCTCTTGCCAAGCACCTTTCACCAATGACGATTGTGACTTTGTCAAGTCGCATTTTCCTCTTCGGGAAACGATGACGAGGGCACTATGAGAGAAACTCAAGACGTCGACGGTTGCTCTGCGAGGGAGCGAAGGACATCTTCGCAATGGGGTGCTTTTGCTGCTAGGCACTGGCAATGGGACCAAAGCACTTTTCTTTCGGGAATGCCTAGACTGCTCTCACCACCAGTATAACTTAACAATATCACAAGGAATGATAGAACCTAACGCAGTAGATGATTCTCCTTCAGCTTCCCCAAGGCCTCAGGCGTCACTTTCTGGCAGACTACCAAGACAGGAACAGGAAGCGCCTACTCTCCTTCTTTTTTTTAAGCGTCACGGACAGTAGGGCTTTTTTGGACTACGGGACTCTGAATAGCAGATCAGTAGACCACCATCCCTACAGAGCGACTATAGGAACTCAGATGTCACAGTTGGCCACCTTGACGGAACAGGGTCGAGGTGCTCGTGGTAACCAGCTATCGACAATCGCGTCAGGACCATTTGTCTTCTTGCAATGGGCTTGGCATTATGCTCAGAGGCCGCCACGAATGGTGGACGACACAACAGGGGCTCCTCACGCTCCATACTCACAGCTTTCAATGACCTCTACCATATAGACAGATGCCCAATGCATGGCGCATTCTGTAGTCCATCCATTCATTACTGCTTTTATCATAGTAACAGTTGCAAGTTCTATAGCATTTAGACACATTTCTATAAATACCCTGAATAAACCGTCCAACCAGTCATAAATGTAAAGTGAATCTGCGGATTTTCAAATTTTGAGAGTTCCCATGGGCCTAACTCGTTCATCCAAATCATGGCTTGCACCGCACCAGACTGCAGTCTGGTTGAAAGTTCAACATTGGTTCGGGGTTTGGAAACTGTGATGTGGGAGGTCGCATCCCATCAATTCCTTCCTAATAATACCATATTTGATGTGTAAGAAAAATGGGTTCTGCAAAATGTGAAAAATGTGTTCTAATCAAAATTAAACCTCCCTGGTAGCCTAATTAGTAATGTAGCTGCGGATATCGAAGCAAATCGTGGCTCATAAAAATGTACGAAGCCATTCATACGAAATGCTGCCCACCAGACGCCAGACATGTTTCAATCTGAAATCGAAAGTGTGTCGGACAAATCCAGTCACACAGGGAAAGCTTTAACTCAGCCGTTTAAAAATGTTTTTATAATAGAGTAGGTTTATTTATTCAAATGCGTAACGAATTCATCTCCCACATGGGCACTTGTAGACCTTCATATGACATCAGTTCCAGTGAAGGAGGACAACCAACTTTGGGATGGGTAAAAAAGCGCCTGAAATGGGTTGATCACTGCCTGAGCAACCCATGAGCAGCGCCTCTAGCCTTTGCGCTACTTCTACACAGTCAATATCTATCAGAATTTTACAATAACCTATAACCTGAAGATCTTTTCCAAAAGCACATACAGCATCCCGTGAAAAGGTTAAGTATGGCAGCAGAAGAACCACTCTGAGCGAATCACCTGGCAAAGGATCCTTCTTGAAAGTACAGCTCACGGTAATTTTGAGGTCTCTTTTCAGGTAAAATAATAGGAACCATGGTGCAGAATAGCGCAAGGGTGTCGAACAACTAAATTTGTTTGATTTTAAAAATATAAAACTTCAAAAAAGTAGCAAGAAAGGGGTTGTCTAAGATGACCGTCTGGGTGTCCCTCACATAGGCGTACTATTCGTATCGTCCTGTGTATAGTGCAGCAATGACACGGCCGCTTTGTATGTCAGCTTCGATCAGATTGGTTTTGGAGCCCTGTCAAGCCGTTTTTCGGTCCGACAACGGCTCGTTTACTATTCTTAGGGACCTTATATTCACTCTACCAGGAAATCTCAGGAACCATTTTTATCGCAAACCGTGCCTTTAAATAGTATGTCCAGCTCCACCCACATCAAGAAATTGTTCATACTTGGTTCGATTTTTAATTTGAAAACAGTGAGTCTGTTGATTGACTCAGCAATATTTTATACAACACTTTCCAGGTAACACTCTGTTCCTGTGTTGGTGATCACTGTAACGACCAGGACATGTTGTTAGCGCTTAACTCGTCCAACGACATGAAAAAACTCGTCCTCGTTCTCGTTCTCGTTATGATGTCTATATCATTATATTTATGACTGATCTTGAACTTACTCTTTAATTGTCATCAAATGGGTGAGGCTTCCTCGACTAACTTTTGACGGTGTTTCCCATTTTAAGCATAATATCTATAAAAAATGTCGCTTTGATTAAAAGGCAGGGCCAAAGGGAGCAAATTAATTTTCTTATGGTCCCAATAAAAAAGGGGGCACAATCGGGTTCGTGTCTCCTTACATCTACAAATTACTATAATTCTAATTATTACAAACTGTTATTACTATCGATCTGAGTTTTTTTTTTCATTGTTGTCTTTCAAATATTTATGTATTGAATCCCAATGCATCATTACCCGATGGATATTCATCTAACAAAATTTCACTATTGATTTTCCAACGACATGATCTACTGAAGACGTATCGATCGATACTCACCCTGAATTCCTGATGTTCCATAGTAGTCCACAGATCCTCCATTTCGTATCCAAAGTTGATATTGTTGCTCACTTTCCAGTCAGTGTTCATTTCGAACGTTGTGTTGCTATCATGTGATTACGGTATTCTTTACCATATCCTTAGCTACTCTGTACTTACTAGCATACTTCAGAGCAATCCTAGAATCAGATAAGTTTGTTTATGACCAAAGAGAGACCAATAAAATAACAAAGTTTACTGGTTGTTTATACATCAGGTTCTGGTGGGGTACTACTAGAGTGTCCGAAGATCATCGGTAGCAAATTTTACCAAATTCCTGATTTTTTTTTNTTTTTTTTTCTGAAAATTTCTGGATGATTCCATCGAAATACGCTGGAAGGACTCTATCCGCCAGCATGCGCCCAGAATATAAAGAGATTTCAAACTATCACAATTGTAAGGGTCCCTCCTAGGGACTACACTGAACGGGGCGATCTGCTTCGAGTGTGAGACAACACACGAGAAGTGAACAGTTTATTAGCGAAAGCAATAACGAAAACCGAACAAAAATACAACAATGATGCGCAAAACAAAATCAAAAATACAATACAATCAAAATCCCCCCAAGGGTTGGGGCAGAGAGAATGCAGCGGATCCCACCAAAGATAGATCGGCCACTAAGCCTTCCTAAAGTCCCCTCCATCGCGAACCACAGAGGTTCGCCTGAAGGCAGTCACCGAGGGTCTAACGGCACGGATTTAACTCCGTGGGGGCACTGACGATGGTAGATGAAGGAATTTATTGACGACCTCCCCCTCTAGAGGTTCCCACTTTATACGGCCTTTCCCGCGTCTTTTCTCCCCAGGCATGTTTACTCCTGCTAGCCTCCTATCTCCTGATCACTACTGATCACCTACAGTACTCTTGATCACCCTTAACCCATCGGTATTTAACCTCTCGGGCAATTCCTCTTTGGCGGAACCCCACCGGTGCGGTTCTCTCTGTCCCGCCCTGACACAATCGCTTGATAGGTCGAGGCTCATATTGGACCAACCTGTTTCTTTCTTGGAAGCGTTAGAACGAGGCGTGACAGTAGAGGTACTGGGTTTTTAAGGTTAATTATCTGATACAAGTTTCGATAAATTCAGTAACAGAGCGGCCGGGCCGAATTTGAAACTGTTAAATAAGTACGTGTCGAGTGTGGGGGAGAGGGGGGAAGTGGGGACAGTTCGGTCATTACACATACACATGGTTAAATAAGCAAGAAAAGAGAGCCGAAAATGTGATTGTGTATAAGGGTGGGTAACGCCCTTACGTACAGACATCTTGAAAGCTTCTAGAAAATTCCAGGAAAAATTCGAACTAGCGCGAACTTAAGAATGATCTACAGTAACTCGTGTCAGGTTTCCGGTTCACAGTCAAGAGAGCCAAGGGGTTGGAATTAAATAGGAGAAATCCTTCTGGAATGAAAGGCTTTTTAACCCAAACTTCTTAGGAGTATCGCGCCTCCTAGCGCTATATTACTTCTTTTAAAACAGCTATGTATAAGGTAACTAGCTTTACTTGTTCAGCCTAAGTATGCATGATCAGTGGTGAATGGCGATACGACCACAAAAACAGCCCGAAGATCACAACTCGGCCAAATTCGTCTATCGGCCCACGAAATTTCTTTGGAAAGAGTGCTTTCCCAGTGGCTCAAGAAACTTCGCTTCACTTGAGTCTCAGTAAGATTCTGCTTTGCCGTGTTGTTTTCTTATTTCCTGTTTGTGAGCACTTGTACGCGTAGTTAAAGAAATAAGTAAACAAGTGAAGCTTACTTGTTTAAAACAAGTGAAGCTTACTTGTTTGTTTGTTCCTTATATTGTCTGATTTTTGCAAGCCAAACAACGAGAGTCCTAATCCAAGCGACTCAATTCTGAACGGAAATCGAAGTAGTCGCACAGCTTACGTCACCTTCCACCTTTTTCACTGACCACAGTGACTGGAATTGCAACTTCATCAGCCTATTCACCCTCCTTCTCTCACCACTCCTACTTTCATGCTCTCTTTCTTCAGCCTCTTTCTAGTGGCTCTCTAATTTATGCTAATTGATGTATGATGTGTCCTCGCATGTCATACATGCCCATTGACTCATTTCAATTCGATGCCTCCCCATATTAAGTTTCACTGCTCGGCCGGCCGCCGACCTCAACAGCCGTTTCCATATTATATCGTCAAGCCCACATAGCGAAAACAAAAACGAACTGAAACCGGGGGATCTACTCCACAACTGGTAAGATGACGTTTCCGAGGCTTTAAGAGAACGAGGATGTATAAATGCTCAGCATCAGCCAATCCTTCATTCAAGTGCACCACGCACTTCGCGCTTTTTGGAATTTCAAACTCGTCTGATTCCACCTCTGGCCTATGCACTGAGTTGTGAAACCCATAAGTATGATTTCAGTTGGAATAAATGTAAGTGTTCATAGAGAAGGTCAGCTAATTATTCCTAGTCAGCGAGTTGGTAAAGTTATGGGTTCACTATGAAGATTCAGGTAGGCACCGATTGTGAAGATATATGGAAATCACCATCATGAAAATGAGGCCGAAAGGGCAGGGTCAGTCTCCTTCTACAGCTGACCCTGAAACTCTACCATTCCACGATATCATCAATCCTCTAAATGGTATCTAAAGCGCTGGTAAAGCACGTTGTACAACACAACATGGGCGTACTGTAGCTCCCCTCAAGTAAGCAATCCCCTATCTTTACGTTGATGACTAGTAGTTGGTACCGCCCTTATAAGGAATGAAGATCCGTAAATGTGGATGATTGATGTGTCTGGGGAAGGATTTTTTTCTCCGATACACAGTGGAACTACTTTAAACTCCTGGCCACTCATTTATCAATTCATTAACACCTTTGTAGACATTACAATCTCTCCAATTTTCAAAGTACGTCGCAACGGTGAGACTATAATGGCAACCAAACTAAGATATTGTTCCATCTTTCATAGTCTCTTAGGCATCATATAGGTGTTTCTTCAGGAGTTTTTTCCCCAGAAGTTAGTAGTAAAGAGATTAATCGAGACAAGATACGCCATGCAGCCGATTCCCCATCAAAATTGTTGACAGATATATGTCAACGCTCGTAATTGGTGTTCATGTTCATGTTGTGTAAGAACTTATTTCCTTCCCACGATTTCTCTTTCGTGATGGTCTCTGCCTTTAGTAGGCTTCCAGTCTTATTTATCACACCAATCGCTGTGAAAGCGTCAAAGAAAGGAAGAATCATCCCAACATAAACCATTCCAATAAGCAAAATTTCTACAACAACAAGAAGATTGTTTTTTTAGATTCAGTACCATGTCATCTAGAATGAATGAAAAATTTTTGCGCATTGATCAAACCCTTTCGTGGGATGCGCCTCGCATTCGACTCCCATTCAGAATTGCAGTGGCCAGCTGATACACATGTCAGCACTTTAGACCCCAGACGAGTGTGGTTCAAATAAACCGACCCCGCAGTGGAAGGCTCGGTTGGCCTAGGCGAATATTTATCCAAGATTCGAACCCATGACCATACTTGCATGATAGTGCGCTACTTGCCGCTACGCCACCACCGCCCGCTCGTGAAAAAGTACAACTTTCAAACCTTTTATCACCTTACCGATCACTTCCATGTGGAATGGAAAGTGAACTGAAATTTATAGTCTTAAATATTTTTATAAAGTAACGATTTCATAACAGCCAAGGAGAAAGCATTGGAAAAGCTCAACAACAAAATTAATTTAGCATATTTATAATCAAAGATCATGAGAGAGATGATACCGTTCAGTCACTCTTGGTCTCAAATATTGGGTACTTTGCCTTTGCAGTTTCCCAATCCATCCGCTCAGTAGATAGCGCTAACAATAGACTACCGAGTTCGGTCAACTGAAAGTCGTAGTCGATAAGTCAAGATATAAAGCTGGATCCATAGGCAATGATAGACTCACATCCACTCTGACTTGTTCCATGCTTTCGGCATGTCTTACTGTCACTGTCCATGGCTCTTTCTCGGATTCAAAGTCTACCGTAACGCCGAATGGAATTCCAATCTCATCTGTTCGTGCGTATCGCCGTCCAATTGATCCTGCGCTGTCATCCTAAAAAGGAATTTTCATAATAAAGAAAGCTCAGCGATTCGGATTCATACATCACAAAGAAATTAAATTCAAAATTATCCTGACAACTCAAAATATTTTGAATGAAGAATCCCGACGGCTTACCCTAAGAGTGAGTAAACAATCTCCAGGTTTACTTTTCAGGTCTCAGGGCTTATTCCACCGCGCACGTAAAGAGAAAATCTGAACATCTTCCACCACGACAATGCCAAACTATATGCGGCAAAGTTGAGACAGAGGTTGAGGTTGGGGCTAACTGGTAAACCTCCAATCTACTTATGACTCGAGCTACGCCCTCTCTCAATCAGATTACTAGCTGGATCAAGAGACGGCATCAGGATTAAATGAGCTGGAAGTTCGGGATAGGAGTAAGGAAGGCATACAACAATTTTTAGAAGTTTAGCCCCCAATCTTCTGCTGATGGGAAAGAGTTCAACAAGCTGTGCGAATGTTGTGCCGACCAGCGTTTACGTGGGTACATGCCCATCGTATCCAACCGTGCATTGCTCGTCTTAGAAATATTTTTTTAATTACAAAACTACAAAAGGCTCATCCAATGACCTAATATGACCTCAGGGCAGCACCTGCGATCGAATTTGCCCTCTATTCTGTCAAACTACCTGAACACTATTAAGTCGAATTACGATATTCTGATAGTAGAGGTGCCTGTTTGGCTTAATTCAGCCAAGCTCACTCGGCCCGAGCACTCAGACTTCGATTAGTGGCCAATCGAATCAGAAAAGTTATTTTAAGGAAACTTTGTCAGAAAAAAAGGTGAACTTAAACAAACAAACATACCACGCGATAGCTAAGCTCATATCGTGAAAGCTCCTCACGAACTGCATCTATTATCGGATTTAGCCTTTCATTTGCAGATATTGGTAGAACTGAGCACTTAATTGGCGCCACCCGTGGCCGTAAAGCAAGGAACTGAAAACATTTTCTTTATCTTGAATATGAACAATTTCATTTTTGGAGAATTATTTTATCTAACGATAAACAATTGAGACTACGAAGTGAAGTTCACAAGAAAAGAATAACAATAGACGTTCCTCTGAAATCTGACGAAACTCCCAATCAGAATACTCACCGTTCTCTGTTCGTCTCCTTCCCGTTGCCTGAAAGAATGCTCCAAGACGGCATACATGATCCGTCCAATTCCAAACGATGGTTCGATTACCGATGGAGTGATCTCTTCGACGTGAACCTTAAAAAAGCTCATAATCCAAAGTCCGTTGCAACTGTTGCGAAATGCCTAGTAATGAATTGTGAAAAATCGAGTTTACAGCATTTTCTCACCGTTTTCGTTGACCTCTTCACGGACAGCATGTTTGATGTAAGGGAGAACTCGTCATCATCCACTTTCAACTTGAATGCCCTTCAACAGAACACAGATTGTTGTATAAAGGACAAAACAGCAACCCAGAAAATGAAACTATAGAAATGGAAAATAAAAAGAGCCAGGATCTCATACCCTGTACTGATCTGCTTCTCGAGGTCCTCTATGCACTCCTCAGACATTTGTACGAGCGCTGTTTGAATCTGCAAACGATCTGTGTATTATGACTCTCGACTCTTTCTTCAAATAAAGGATTCGGGTAATTGGATCGAGCAGTGTCCAGAACTTGGATGCATTTCAGCCTTTTACAGTGGCTCATACGGCTATTTAAACCCAGACTGATCGAAAACGTTTATGATTAGCAGTCGATCTATGTGTAGAAGAAAATGACTACAAGGAATTGCTGCACAATAGCGTTGGAAAGGCCTCTGCTAACTTTTGTCATATGTCTATTTGATCTCCACCAAGGCAAAGGTCATCAACCTCTTCCGATCCAAGTGCAGAACACAATTTAAACAAGCACCAACCCGTTTCGCGTCCTTCTTGAACTCTTTTCCTAGCAGTGCCATATTCGGAACAACTTCAACAACGTCAACCGTTTTCGGCTGTTCCAATTTCTTCTCGGCTACCAGCTATAACAACATCGATTAACTACTTCCTAGAACTTCCAAAATGGAAGGACTCCATGTAAGACATTGATCATAAGAAACCTTAGTGTTTGTAGCTTTGGAATGCTGGGTCAGATCGTAGCAAGAGCGATCTGCGTTACCAACACATTCAATCCATCCGTAGCTGGTCAGAATTTCGGCATCCCAGCAATCCTTAAGGGAATTTCATATAGACAAAATCAGCTACTTCTTTGAATACTTTCAATATGCATATCCCAGAAGATGAGTAACCAAAAATTAAATTTTCCACTGGGACGATGCGGTCCCATAGCAGAATCCACAAGGAAATATAACGATAGCACTGACTTACCTGAGCATAATGCGCCATTTCATTTCCAAGATGCTGACGGAAACGCAAACGACGCGGATCAACCCCAACCTTGACTAGATACATGTGAGTGCGAGCCATGTAGTATCCCAAAGTCTCATTGGCTACTATACCCTGAAATCACTTTGTTTATGAACTTTAGATTAAACTGGCGGATTAAGTTTATAGAATACAGTCAAATTACATAGAATATGAATTTCATATCTGTTCTACCTTATCTACAGCTTCTCCTATAGTCATCGATACAGCCGGCTGACCATCCATTTGGTTACAGGCAGAGAATAGCACCACCGGGTAAGAGTGGACCTGAAGAAACTGGGGTTTTGAGATGTTAAACACTGACATTACTCTACGGATACGAGAATCAATGAAAATCTTTCTCAATAAAACAAAAAAGAAAAGCTCCCATTCATGAAAAAAAAAACTTGCAAAGCTATCAGCAATACATTACCTTTTTAAACTTCGGGAAGCTCTTATCGTTAGGATCCACAAAATGCTCGATTTCACACATGGTAAATTCGCGAACCCTGATGAGACCCTGACGCGGTGAGATCTCATTACGGAATCCGAGACCAATTTGAGCCGCAGCGAACGGCAGCTTACCCTGAATAAAAAAATATGCAGAAGTCATAGATGTTGAATATTCAAGAGCATATTCGAATTTAAACTACGTGAATTCTTGATTTATCATTTGCTACGGACCTGATTAAACTCCAACAGCCGCTTGAAGTTGACAAAAATACCTTGAGCAGTTTCGGGCCGTAGATAAGCCTTAACATTTTTTACATCAAAAGGTAGTAAACAGAACCGAAAACACCACATCTAAAGACAAGGCATGGCTTAATTCATGAGATGGGTCATATGAACTAAGAAAACAAGAAAGCGAAAAGTAAGGATTCCTTACTCTTACCTTAAAGTCCCCTGTTGGTCCTATTTGTGATGGGAACATCAAGTTGAAAGCTATTGGAGGAGTTAGCTCATTTCCGGTAGATGGTGATTTGAAGCCGAATTTCGTAATCACCTGTAAGTGGTAACGAAGAGACTGAAAATATCCCAAGAAAACTATCCGATGAGTATTTTGAAACTAACTTCTTGCATGTCCTTATCATCGAACCCTTCGAGACGAGCTAGGACATCTTGGAGAGCAGATTTTGTGGCCTCATCGGTTTTCTTGTCCTAAATTAAATATATAGCCACACTCAGAGAAAACCACTAATGTTCTCGAGAGGAAGAGCATAAGCAGATTTCACGGTGGATCTCTAGGAGAACGAGCAATAACTCAGCAAATCTGAACGGGATAGGAAAAATTACATACACCAATTAGTTTTTCAGCTGCATTTTTGATAAGGTGGTCAGCTCGGAAGCACTCTCCATTTTTCACATCCTTCACCATCCAATCAGCGAAACGATCCACATGACCAGAGGCCCTATTACAGCAGAGATTTGATATTTTCTGTCACTCTCACGGACTCACACAGCATTGAAACGACAAAAAAGAAGAAGGAAAGAAAAATAAAAACTCAATGAAGGAACCTACTTGAGCACCGGTTCAGGTGTAAGCGAAGTACAGTCAACTTCCAACATTCCCTCTTCAAGAATGAAATGCTTGCGCCATTCTTGCAGCATGTTCGCCTTAAGCGCGCATCCCATAGGACCAAAGTCATATCTAATAAAAAACGTTGAACACATAAAAGTGGAAGTTCGCTAGGTTACAATGAACAAACTTACAGTCCTGTCACTCCCCCATAAATCGAGAACGACTGGTCGTAGAAGAAGCGCCTCTTCAGTAGATCTTCAAGCTTCAAACGGTCGAAAGACGCCTCTTTCGGAGCAAGTGCCACCTCCTTGAAAAAAAAAAGCGCATGAGAGAGATATAGATGAGATCCTTGTAAATTATCACGCCTTTCTAGCAATGAGTGTGGAACCAAAAGTTCATAAAATTCCCAACAAAAGTTCATCTACAGAACATGAGCAAGAATAAACCCGCTGAATAGCATTACTACATGATTACCACATTTGCCACAATAGCTCGTACCCATGTCCACCACAGAAAAGTGGAAAAGTAAAGCTGCAGGCTCAGAATAATCAAATATTGTGCTCACCGTGTCCTCTAGCTTCTTCTTTCTCGCTTTTAGTTCGATAACCGCCTTGTCAATATCGATTTTTGGAGCACCCTGTTCCTTAATAGCAACATAGATAGTGACAATTTGAGGGAACAAAAAGCGTAAAAGAGCATCATCAAATGAGCTTTTAATTTCTCACAACTCCCTTCTATCTCCCTCAAAACTCAAATCAAAAGACACTTACTTTTAATTGCCGGACTAGATCTCCGTACTCCTTCACGGCAATACGCAGGGGAGCCAATTGCTAAATGCACCGTTGATTTAAATACTGACATTTTGAGAAGATACCAGCCTCACCGCTTCTACTTCAGGACTAGCCATATTTCTCAAATACTCTGATAACTTTAGCTTCGATTTCTTGGTAAATCTTGGAGCGATGGAAGTTTTTCGTCCTACCTTTTTATTGAAAGCGGTTTCTGCCTGGAAAGAGAAAATGAATGAGGTTAAATGGTAAAAGAGTTTAATGACTCAATTTAAGAACGAATTAAACGATTAAATCCATATAAGCCGAAACGAATTCGGAGTCCATTTCTTTAGCACACTGCACATTCAAAGAAATTGTATGGCTCCAGTTGCAAGGCATCATTCACAGTCAGAGAATCATAGAACTGTGAGTCTGCTGAAGTCATTAGATACGAGTACGTCTCATGTATTGAGAGTTTTATAAACCGAGTGGTGCCCGGGTTAGATAATTGTGCGATATTCTTTCTCATGGAGGAGGGAGGGGGATTGCACCCCTCTAACGCTAGGTGCTAGAGCGCTGAGGAGGGACGGCTCATTTTTACGAGCTAGTATGAGGCTCAGCCGAAACTGTATTACTCTGGCTAAACTATAATTTCAAATACCGTCACAGGTCGGTAGAATCGGCTACCCTCCTACTTTGGGCTTTAACTCCAATTGTTAGGAAAAAGTGACTTTCCACTTCCACCCCGTTCCCCTGCCGTTATTCCAGTATGAAGGAGTCGACGGTAAATTGATGCGACTAATATTATTCTTGCTTTTTCCTGGTCTTTGAAGAGTATGCAAGAGATTGTTGCTTAAATAAGCTGTCAGACAGTCGATCTCAAAAAAGGAATAAGTCAAATGTATAAGAAATCAACACAGCGAGATGTCAAGGGAACAAATCCCCATATATTTCTGACCGAAAATGACAAAGAACGATTCTCTTTTTACTTTGAACACGCCGACAAAAGAATCCCACATGGTTTTCAAGCTATTTTGAGCTATTTAGAAAAGTGAACAATCTAACCTAGACTGACTGGAGCAGAAATTTACAAAATATACTACCACTCAGCACCGAAATATGGTAGAACATTAAAAACTATGGTAATCCTAAGGCTAAGCTATGGGATGGCGTGAGATAGGTGACATCCGTATGTACACGTGGAATGCGACATTGACGGCAGACTTGCAGTGCAGGAACAAAATTAACTTAACAGTCTATTGATTCTGTGACACAGTAATTCAGAAAAGGGACGGTCAATAGACGTCTTAAATAACAGCAAATAGCTAAAGGGCGTCCAAGCGGGAATTCTTGCTACTCAAGAAATAGGTCGGGTCACAACAAAGCAATCCAACTCCCAGTCTGCTCGCTGTTAACCACCATGATCTCTGGGAAGATAATACGAAAACAGACGAGCGTTGAGCACGATATTTCAACAGAAAGCAGCTGTCAAAGCACAATATCCCCAAAAGGATGCGGACCTCAAAGAATCTACACATTTGCTTCAGAGTTAAGTGGGATGTCGAAAATCGAAAATTCCTAAAATCATTTGTAAGATTACCCTCTAATTAAAAAGGAAAAGCATGAAAATGCTGAAAAATGTCTAGTGGTGCTTTGGCAATCCAGTGAAGAAGGAGGTGGGAGCTGCTGACGCTCGAGTGCTCCATTGCATCATTCTGACGACGAATGTATGGTGGCTCGATTTCGACACTATGATTCAAGGATTTCCCTTTGATGGAGTCCTTCGAAGTTTGTCTTGCACAGTGAAGATCCCGGTGAAAAAAAGGCGAGTTTGGAAGCTTCTGGAAGATTTTCACAGAGCGAGCAAATTTTCCGATCGAACTAGGATGGCTTAAGTCCCCGATCTTCGACGTTTCTTAGGTAGACTTCAGGCCAAATGTAGATTTGTAGTAAGTGTTGTTTCTATTCACGTCATTAGCTTACACTTACTACTTTCCACATGGGAAGAGTTATTATGGTGCATTTATTCAATCCATTGTGGGCGTTAAGGAAGCGGTGCCCAACAAATTAGGCTCCAATGTCCTCGATCCATAACCAATGTCGACCAGGCGTTTCACAGCTTTAAGACAGCATTGTTTTCACAACCGTACCAGCTCTAGCCTTCACTTTCCTAAAATGAACACCGATGTCAAGAGCGGAATTTGAACACCAATGTCAAGAGCGGAATGTCGGCTCCCGATTCCTACAGTAACCTTATGGTGAAATAAAATGCAGTGGGCGCAAGGTTCTACGACAACATATTTCCTTTCACGACATAACCGCTGTTGGATAGGCAAATCTTCAACCCTCAATAGACGGGGTTATGCATCCGGAGGCTGTCTCGAATCACGACAACTCGTTTGAGTTAGGATACCCAGCTCAAAAGCTGTAATAGCCAAGTGCTCGTACCGAGTTTCTGCTTATGATAGGTATACCGCCGAGTTGAAATATCAACTCTCTGACGGTGCCATTTATAAACTGAGGGGCGGCTGCGAAATTCGCTGTGGGACCGCAATACCGTGACCCGCGCCGCGCTCATGTGCTTAGTTGCAGCTGGCCTAAATTTGAAAGTGAAATGAAAGCCACCAGGATGGGAAATGTACAGAAAAGGGAAAGTGTTGGGTGTCAGCTGCAGGTTATAATAATAGATAATAATCAGTAAGGTTAGGGCGACAAACAGCTATTCAAGTTCTGAAAACTTCTGCTAGTTTGATGTAGGACTTTCAAAGCAATAGTCGTGCTGTGGTATAAGCAAAGACAGGCACTCGATAATTGCTCTCGGGGTAGCACAACCCACACGCTATTTGCTTTAGAGGAAGATTCATAATAAATGATAACTCCTAAAAGGAACCAATCTGTCCGCACATGCACAAACGATTTCTCAACTAGGGCGCATTGCCTAAAGTTCCAATTTAATGTGAATAGTTTCTTCAAAGGAGCTCTTATAACAGACCTGCCTTGGCTCAATCAGTTGAGTGAAGCGTCTCACCCAACACCTTCCCTTTTCTGTACATTCAAAGGAAGGTGTTGGGTGTTGTGCTCTCCTTTCCTTTCATCCATTCCCCATCCTGGTGGCTTTCATTTCACTTTTAAATTTAGGCCAGCTGCAACTAAGCACATGAGCGAGGCGCGGGTTACGGTATTGCGGTCCCACAGCGAAGTTCGCAGCCGCCCCTCGGTTTATAAATAGCACCCTCTCTGACACCTGATTTTTTTAGATTTTCGCACCCACTTTTTTCTCGAGAAAAAAAATGTTCTACCAGGCTAAAAATACTGTGGACTGTAAAAAAAACGCTGGAGGGGTCTCACTCAGGCTTCAAGGAACGGATTGGCAAGTTGAGTATTTAAATAATGCGATATTCGAAAAGGAACAAATCATTGATTTCATGGAAACACATAAATTTTTCTACCAATAAAATCAGCAACTAAAATTCAAGGCCATTGGGCTTCATCAAGATTATGACACTTGATAAGGCTGATCTCTGAGCGATATTTAAAAAACAACAACAAAGCTCAACCTATGAACGGGGCGAAGCGGAATCCAATTGATACACATGGTTTGCACTAATTAGAACTTTTAGGCTCGAAAATGTTACAGGCATGACACATATCACTGATGAAACTGTGGCGCAATCGATAGAAAACTGAAACTGCGCAGAAATCGCGATGTTCTCCGTCGCCGCCGGAACCATTGGATCAGTGGACTGGCTTCTCTAATTCGGCTCCTATCTCTTCCGAATTGTGACTTACCAGAAGGCCAAGAATACTGACTTATTGTTAGTCATTAGCCCCCTCTTACAAGCTACTATATGAGCAAATCACACTTTGAAGTGTTCGTGTAGTTCCGAAGACTCATCCCAGAACTATTCAAAAAAAAAAAGCTCAACAAAAACAGCCTCTCCAGTTGTCATTCCTACCCTTTTCATAATCTGAGGCCTTCAGTCGGCAATCCGTTATGGAATAACTCTGATAAGGAACCTATATTAGGAAAGTCGTTCGAGTTTTTATCTATGCCATCAATCAACTCTCCTTTTTTGCCAGGATCTCTATCGAATCTATTGATTCTTCAGTTCCTTTTGGAAGTTATCACAGGACCACAGCGTACTGTCGCCCTTTTTTGAATTAATCGGCATCATTCATTCTACTACATCCACCTATAAAGTACGTAGCCCAAGCCTTACCTGCTAGGCATACATAGAACAACAGCGGCTCAAACTATTATCAAACTGACCTTAAAAAATTCTTGTGCGAATGTTGCTTTTTGATACAATCGGCCAGCTAATACTACTCTTCTGATTAGGCACGTACTTATCATAAACCAGTCAAACAAGCTTCCGCTGGAATAGAATGCAAATCTATCAACTGTCAATGAAGAAGGAAGTCGAATATCGAGCTCACAGATGCGGGACGGCCTCTGCTTCACGACGACTCCACTATTTTAGTTGAGACTTCCTTGATTTCAAATTTAAGTACATCTTGAGGGTTTTACTCAACAGTTATTGCAGCAACACTGATCAAAATCAAATAATTTATTCATACATTCCATAAGCATCAATTTCTTAAGTGTAACGAGAAGCTAGTAAAAACTGAAGGACTCTTAGCCTATCAATATTGGATATAAAGCATCCACGAAGATCTTTTAATTCCAATTAATGTGTAACATAAAACATGGCACTGGTAGCAGTCTTGAGAAGTAAAATGTTCCACCAATCCTTTGGATATGCTTATTCAACGACAATATTTAGCTGCAGGAAAATTTATAACCTATCGCCTTATAGGGCTAGATTTTCGACCCAAATTCAGGACAAGACATACGAAGACTACCAGAAACTTAACACAGTTCAGCTTCACAGCTAAATTCAATTAGGGGTACTAGTTATCCAAGCAAACGCTCCTCGTTCTTAAATGGGAATGGTTTGTGAGAAATACATTGTGAGAATGTTTTAAACATTGAGTTCACGAAAGCTCAAATATCACTGGTATAACACGAGAAAACTTGTCAAAGGTGCACTCTTGAGAAAATTCGGGCAGATTTTAGAATAAGGAATGCATCAACTTTTTCGACTCTTCGTACGTTACGAATAGACTGCCTGATGCTAGGCAAGTACGAATCAGTGTAGGCAGAAGTCCCTTATACAGTGCCATCACACCTGAGGAAGTAAACAAACTCTAAGGAAATAAAGGAAAGAATAAAGTGTTCAAAATAAAAAACTGCAATGAAAAAAAAANAAAAAAAAACACATCTGGCAACGAAACACACCTTCTTCCCTGGCCACTTGTATCAGCAGACGAATGAAATTCCCTTTTCCAGCAACCTGAATGATGTCTGCAATTACAAGGACAATCAAATGTGTTGAAACTAATAGGAATATTTTTAGTTAGAGATAGCTTACAGCTGTGGACGATAGACACAGTTATAAAGCAATGCGCTACTGAACAAAAACAAAAAGCCAAAAGCGTCATATTATGTCTTTTCCAAAGAAGAGTCTATGCAATACATTACCTGAAAGCCTTCCAGTTAAGTTCACTGAATTTTGATCAAACGATATAAAAAACACAGACAAAATCTAAACTAAGGATGCCTGCACGTTCATGTGGTGAGCATGAAGCAGCGAACTTTTGTATTGCAGAACTCAAAAGAATTCGGTTCACTTACTTCCGACCCATTGCGGGGATTTCCGGACTGGCTGTTTGGACCAAAATTTGAGACCTAATAGCCCGATACTATTCGCTTTCATTTTTGAATTCAACTCGCAACTAGTAGAGGAACAGCACGGGCAAAAATCTACCTACCTGCATCCGAGACTTCACCGAGTCAAATGGAAAGATCGCAGCCCATAGCGCCATTCCACCTATAGCTCCGGAAACTGCAGTTCTCAATAGTCCTGAAAATCAGTAGTAGGAAGCGGATTTCTCTTTCTGATAATGTCTTCAACAGAAAGAGGCATTATGAATGCGTGAAAGAAAAGAGTACATCCATATTTACCCAAAAAAAAANAAAAAAAAATCGAAATTAGATAGGTAAAGCAGGAGTTCACAGACAACTGCACATCAGAATAGCCTTGAGAGCACATGGGAAGTCCTAGTTGTTTTAGTACGTACTAAAACTTTCCTACGCGTATATCATGGTACTAGCCTTCTGATATGTGGACGGGAACAACAACAAATAATTCAGAGTAAGAAAAATTTATATGAGACAAAGAAAACTAACCTATGTCATCTTTCTCTTGCCCTTCCTTCGATAGCACATATCGTGAAGCTTCGTAGGCACCAAAGAAACAAAAATAGCCGGGAACCTTCAACAAAGTGATAAAATAAGAGGAAAAATATTTCTACTTCTAGCACGTCCTATTCTCCATCAAATGAGAATTGCCCATCTGATGTGCTGTGCATCTGAGCTTCAAAGGCGTATGCTATGCCACACACCATTTTCATATTGTGGCATGCCTTCATACAACCAGCTTAAGAATGACATATGAACCCACCTCTCGCGCCAACGTTGGAGACATCCCGATAAAGAATCCGCGAATACCCCTTTCACGCCACATATCTCTACATACAGATGTGGGTGTGCTGAAATCGAAATTCCTAAAAATGGCTCCCCTTTCGATTGAATGTTACAGCAGTACTTACCAAGAAATGCCAACTTCACGAGCTGCTTGCAAACGGCACTTAACTAACTCTGTAGGACATAAAACAGCGGCTGCAAATACAGAGGCAAGTGAGCCAGCAGACGCATTTTGGAGTGGTGACATAGTTTTGACATCTGCGTGACCACAGACTACACCAACTAACTATACAAAGAACATTATGTTGAAGCAACGTATGTGCTTGACTCGAAATAAACTTCATACCTTCTGACAGTACCCGTATGCTGTGAAAAGGACGGCATTTTCAGCCACATTTGCTGCTAAGGCTGGTAAAGTACCTGAAAGACGCAACTAAAGAGTAATCTGCACACTAATGAGCCGAATTAGATAGCTCTAGCCATTAGCTGGTTCTCATGACGTTAGTTTTTTTCAAACAGCTTTGCTAAATCATAGTTTGCAGCATCGGCCAAATGGAAATTAAAAGAAGGCACTCACCGGCATATAATCCTCGAATTCCATCCAACCGATAGGTATCCCTTAGACAAGTTACCCAATTAGTATACATTTGCGGAAATGTTTGTACCTTTACTTTGACTGTATCCAATGGTTGCCCTGCGTAAACGTTCGCTACTCCACCTGTAAAGTGATACGATGGAAAATCAGGACTACTATACATATTTCATATATTTCTATCCTTCCTGAGCACAACGCATTTCCTGACCCTTCGAGAATAGCGAAAAAGTTCACGAAAACAGTTTCGTTGTCAGTAATATGGCTTGTCATGGTTACGGTAATTTCATTCAGATTGGCGTGACGAAAAAGATGTTGGGAAAACGGAAACTTCTATCGCGAGCAAAAAAACCCTTCACACCCCACTTAGGAATCACCACTTGAAAATCAACCGTTGGCGGTAAAAACTTTCGAAGGGGTCTACACCCAAGAGTTTAATTCCAAACGGAGAGGGTCACTGGGCTTGCGCTTCCTTAATTTCGGCACGGCGACCTCGAGCGATACTCCTCGCAGTCTTAAAAACGCTGGTAATTAGGCGCATGGCGCGGTCTCCTGCATATTGCTTGCAAAGAACTACGCTTGTAGCCCCTTTAACAGCCCACTCGTGTTCCTCCCCNNNNCCCCTGCAGAAACAACACGATTCCCTACAAACTACATAATCCTTATTCCGAGACTATCACAATTGCCATCTTGGTAATGGCGAAGGTCGTGCGAACCGTGCAGATCCGCATACACGATATTTCCCTGTGAACTATCTCAATTGTTCTTAGTTTTGACTGAACGCCACTTTATCAGGAAAATTAGATCAGACTTTCACTTTCTGAACAGTTTCGAACAAATGAAGGCAGTACATAAATTTAAAAATACGCACCTAACGTGCCAGCCATCAGGTCAATTACACCATCCTTGAAATGTGCCACCACACTGTGCTCTGAGGATGCGCCGTGCATTTTCTGTAAAGACCTCAAAGGGAAGGAAATGAACCTCATATATCATCAGTTACGACTATTTCCTGCAGCTTGTGAGAACACCAAAAATTAGCAAAACTCAATGAGTGCACTACTACATTGATTATTCTCAGAAACAGAAATTATCAGTCGTTTAGTGAACTTTTCGACAAACAGAAATCGTAATATCAATACTATTCCGTTGATGATGACCACAGACAGGAGAGCTGAATGAAACACATACAAACGAAACAAATATATGAAAGGAGCGAACAAGGCCAAGTGGAGGACACGATAATGAACGAGTTATTAGAATTCACCGAGCACGTACTACTTCAATTGACAATACTGATGAAAAAATTACAATTAACAACAACAGAGATCGCTCGGTTTAAAGTAATCGATTCAAACAACAAATACTTGGGGCTATTCCGACCAGGTAAAATGGAATGTTTATTGATAGACACTGAAACGTCCCTTACTTTGTGCCCTCGATTGTGAACTAATCCATGGTGTGAACAAACAAAAAAGGACAATTAATACAAGTTTTTGAGCGACATTGGTAACCGGATACGGATTTNTACCCACTTGAACGATGACGCGAGACAAAGGGACTGGAGAGGGCCAATAAAGATAACGTTAACTCCCAACAACTCCAAAAACTGATCGGTTAAAACGTTTACCTGCCTATTAACTAGTGAAAAAAAGCTGCTACCTGTGTTAAGTGGACCAACCCGATAATGTGATAAATGAGGAACCCTTAAGACGCCCGCCCTAATGCTTCTAGTGTTATAAATCACGTATGGCAGGCTGTACTGCTGCTTCTGAACTAATCGGTTATCTCGATTTTAGTTGATAGAAATTTGTCAGTCACTCGTGTTTGCATCGATATCCATATCAGCAACAAGTATAATGAAGAACAAAACAAAATACTTAGTCATGAAATCTACAAGTTTACAGCTGTGCAAACCGGAAGCGAGAATCAACATAGTGATATCAGAATGAATTGGATCAACAACGTATTGATGAAAAGAAACTACCGTATAAAACATAGAACTGTTGAAACACCCGCAAGGAAGAGAGCAGATCGAACGTTCTTTGCTTTTAGAAGAAATAATGCAGTCGAAGACTGGGAGGCATAAAAAGTGATAGCGATGACAATCTCCGCTGTAGAACCGTTACCGTCCACATTCCTATCACGATTTTCATCTAGGAGTCAAGTGACGCAGGGACAACCACAGCCGACAATTTGGTGAAGTGCCGTACCGAACCGTGGTCTTGAAGTCAAAAAAAGTGGGGTGGGCATAGAGCGTGAAAAAATGGTGAGTTTCCGCCGCAAGATATTTACATTATACAACTGAGGCGACCTAGATAGCCCCACCCTCTTCTGCTGAGAGGATAGCCCGTATAGGAGGATAGCCCGTATAATCCCGCTCCCAATGGCCACCACCTCAACACTAACTCTTGCGCGGTATCTAGGGCATAACTAAAGGCGAGAACTAAGGTATCACACTAGCCTAGTACCTCCAGGTGCTTGTCGCTGCATATGATGTGATTGCAAGCCAAATGCAGCCTAGTTGGCCGAAAACTGCGACAAAACACGCCGTTGTCTTTAAAAGATTGGGCCAGTAGATAGCACTGCGTTGCGATAACACAGTGCTTTTGAACGCCTTAATTTCAATGAAAGAAAAGTGTCATGGAGCGGCAAATCTGTAACATATCATCTCGAAGTTATACCGAGACTACAGCAACTTCTTCATAACCAATTCGTACAACATTCGCTGGCGATAGTACGGCATGTGTTCTTGGGTGAAAACGATCGGTGCTCGTCTCGAGGCAAACTCTGCGAATTTGCAGGCAAACACCCCGCAATCACTTCCATTCATCTGTCGTGGAATATCCTGGAAGCAAACTTCTTACGCGAAATAATGGAGTACTGTAATAGTTTGAATTGAAGAATACGTGGACTAATTTCACTTTAAGCGGATTTAAATCACACAATGGAATGATCTCAAATGAATTGTCCGTTTAAAATTTTGCTTGAATACTGGACAAGTTTTCGAGTGCTGATTTCGTTTCTGCTGCTCAAATTCGCCAAACGATCCTATGAACAGTATTACGGAATCGTTTTTAGGCGAGGACATGATAGTTTCACAATAAATACAGCGCTTCCTGCGCTCGCAGTGATGGCTTGGAGCAGTGGCCTGCCGGCCACCTGGTCCAAAATACTCTCTCAAGTTGACTTCACGTTCTGTGACATCTTTCTTTATTCTACTTGAACCATCACCATTTTCTCGCTCCGTATACGCTACTTTCAGCAGAACATTTGGAGGAAATGCAGAATTTTTACGGCAAAGGATAGATTAACACTTTGGTCAGTTGCGCCCTTGTAAGAGCAAGAAACTACAGTTGTTAGCTACGCTAGTTAGGCTTCGCACCTTCTCTCACTCGCTTTGAAGTCACCTCGCTTATTTGATTGCTGATCTCTCCGCTCAACTCAACTGTACTAATGTGAATTCTATGAATGAGAAATTTCGTATCATTCCAAAAGTGGGAAATATTGGAGAAGAAAAACTTTCTACGCGAACGTAAAGTGGGAAACTTGTGAAGCTCGAAAATCGAAGTAATAATGGATTTACAAAAAACTTCTAAACAAACTGGGAAACAAAACAATTTTCTTATTGGTTTCAACTATTGCAAAAAGATGCCGAGATATGCCATTGATAAGGCAATTTAGTTTTTAGAGCACATGTTCTGATAACACGATTTCGATTTTTTACACTTTCTCGTGCTACTTTAAAAGTGCACTTGTAATAATGATAGCAATAAATCTAACAATATACATAGCATATGTCGATACCATCAGAGCAGTCAACTAATGAACTGAGTTCACGCTAAGGGCGAATGAGTGGGGATGCGAAATGACCTTATTCAAAACTAAACCTTGTCTTTTCGGAACAAACCCTGCTTCCCAATAGTTGAACCATAACATCATGATTACGGAACCTTGCCGTGGAGGATTCTCGAGCTTCAAAAAAGCTATACTTACACCATCAAACTAAACGTAAAAAAACAGTAACGGCACACAAGTCACCAACTTCTGGGCATTCACGAGATCTGTACACTTTAAATTCCATTTCAATACAAAAATAGGGTGTTCAATTCAGAAATGATTGAAGAAATTAAGCCAATATTCGACTCAGCACTACTTCCGTGACGCATTTTTCGGTAATTATTTCAGAATGAAAGGTAAGTTCATTCACTTACAAACCTCGATAAAACATAATTGAATACTTGTAATTGCGCCGAGACAGCCCTGCCTAAGGGGAACGCCTCATCAGAAGGGAGACGAAAGACTCTTAGGGTCAAGGATTTCACTGCACTTCAGCACCTTCACTGGCTTACATAGCTATTTTCGTCCACATTGATCAACATGCTGCTGACCAGCAGTCGGTCAATGTGTGTTCATCAACATTTTTACCCAGTTAGGATGGGTGAAGGAGCAACTCTTACAATGAGATCACGATTCAAACAACTGGCTCCGTTACGAGAAAAGAAAGTCGAGTATGTATCAATAAATGGGAAATATTAGAAGTACAGAATGTCACTCCTACCGAGACCAAGAGTCTTAGGTAGCTCCTTCGCACCGTTGATATATGAGTGATTAATCGGTGTGCTAACCGAACACCCAAATCTTCATAAGAGAACTAACAACTAGCGTTATTCGGAGGTGCTTACACCGAAAAAATGAAGGGAGAGAGAATCTCTGATTTGTTGTAAAGCTGTTTTGGTCAAGCTACCTTTTTTTCACACCTTTCGGGCTGACCTCAGATCAGGTTCTGTGGGTCGCATTACGTCACGAGGGCAGAGCGCGACCAGCATCAGTGCTCTTTGGCCTCATTTCGGCTTTTTGTGTGAGCGCATTCGCCAAAACCCAGCCAAAATTTGCGCCTCATCAAACTTTTTTCCTGAGAGGCGATGCAGTATCGCAATTAATCAGTTCTGCAACAGGTTCGAGTGTTTTTGTATCTTTGCGCCCTTTGTTGTGATAAAATTAATGAATGAACGGTTGACATTGCAAAATAATGGTCGTTTTTTGATGACTTGGACCGGTTCAATCATTTTTTCTAGGTTCTTCTTAAGTGATAATCTGTTAGAAGTTCTACCCAGTGGAACATCAATCATAAAGGTTAGGGTTACTGAAAAATGAAAACAGAAATAGCTGGTTTTCGATTCTCCAACCACCTCTCTCATAAGATTCATGAATTAAACAAATGGGTCCTTCAACTCAGTTTTTTGAATACTTCACTTATCAATGTACTGGCGTTGGAATGGCGCAGTTGGTCTTTTCAATTGACTTTGTTTAATGCTCCCTTCTTTTATTCAGTTTGAAACTTTCCGAGTAAATTGGGTGGAAACATTCACTTTCCAATCCTTCCTCCTAATGAGCGAATTTTCACCAAAGAATTATCGTATTATTGTGTATTGAAAGGAGGGAGATGGGGCAACTCTCCCACTGGGTGGTCTGCGTCGTGTGTGCAGGAAAAAAGAATTTGTGGGATGCATGTTTGATACCGAAAAGATACGGCTGGGAGGAATAGAAGTAGGTATTGTCTAACATATACTTACTACTAAATTTGAAACTCAATCAAAGCCATGCAACAGAAGGAAGTCTTATTGAGGAAAGAAGATTATGAAAAATCGAGGAAAAAAGGTTTTGACAACTTCAATCACAAAGAACTTCAAGAATGCCCCCACGTGCGCATCTTTGAGTACATAAAGAGATAAAATGTTCTAACATGACATCAAAACTCTACGGGCACCACCTTTGAAGGAACAGATCGAGAGAGAGGGAGAGATAGAAAGGGAAAGAGAGATAAAGCAACAGAGATTGTACTGCCGATTTCATATAATCATATTCATTATTCACATGTATTCATATTCATATGTCTTCATAGATTCCAATAAAATGAAAAGAAACCTAGAGCTCAGATGTGCTTCCAAAAACAAAATCGATTATTACTGAACGTTTTTCACGAACTCACCGTTCGAAGAATGAACTTCCATCCATCGAGATCGAAATTTTGTTTTTTCTTATCACTGCACTCCTCCACTAGGTAGTTCCTGCATTTAAAACTTTTTTAAAAGATACGCCAGGTTTTTGACTAAAACTTAAAAAAACTCACTTCAAATATTCTAGACATTTCTGGTTTTTTCCCAGTAACGAATCATAGTAGTCAATCCGTTTATCAGCCAAATCAATAACCTGCAGTCAACAATCTATTTTTGAAAGGAGAACGAGAAAACGCTATAAACTAACCGCCATACACCAGTGAACGTTCAAATGCACAGGAACCAATAGCAGATCATGAGCGAAGATATCCACCTTGCGTGTCCATCTTTTTACAGAGGCGTAACCTTTCGTAGAAATGTTGGCGTAGAAGAACGTATTAAACGCGTAGACCTATAAGAATGACCAAGAAGCCTTGTCTTTTACAACTGCATGAACTTGAGCAAGCATTACAAGAAATCTAGTACTCGAAAACGTCATGGTTAGGAATATTGCTGTCATTTGCTCAGTACAGTACCACTGTTTTCAAGAATGTACATATGTTTACACGAGCATTTTCAAATTGTTGCAACTGTTACCTTCGGAAGCCCCTTCGTTTCCGTACTTCTTTGACAGACCAATTGCAGGTAAAAATTTATCACTTCGTCGTTCAGCCAGTCGAGACCACTCAACGTTGAGAGGTCTTTGCGCGTCAGCTGAAAAGATAATATTAAATGGACAAAAATAGAAACAACTCGGAAAACTTTATTATCAAGTCTGAGGCATATTCTGAACTGAAGGATAGACAAACAGACAAAATCGAAGATAATATAGAACTAATCTCAAGAGCAAGAAGGAATCGGTCTCACCTTAATTCCGAATCCTTGACTGAACTCCTCTGACTGCGGAAGCCTCTTATCCCAAACAAGTTGGCAGAGTGATAGTGCCTCATCGGACAACCCTATAAACGTAGAATATTTTCCCTGCTAAGGCATCCATAAGGCTATTGCAAGGTAGGAGTAACATCAGAGAATCAAAATCCAGCGGGAATATTAGCACTCAAATTTCCTGACCAGGCTCTCCACTAATCGCGAGCATAGACTTCTACCGCACTCAATGGAAAAACTACACATACTGAAGAAAGAACAGAAAATTGCAACTGAAGCGAGCTTTTGTTTCTGTTTCACTGCCACTTACAGGATACACTCCACTCGAGAGCCTGATCAAGACAGGACCTTCAAAAGTTTTCTAATCCACATTGAATTAGCATTTTCTTCTCGGTAATACACTGATATGAAACTTTCAAGCTAGCATTCAAGAACACTATTAATCCAAAAGTTACTAACGTGGGAACTCGTCCTTAAGCTTCGGCTTCGGCGCAGGAGGTCGTATCCCAATAAGTTCAAGTCGGCGACGAGCTTGTTCTTCGATCTTTTCTCGCGTGGCAATTCGAGCAAGACCCCGAATTCGCACTTCTTCTTGAAGTGCGATTTCTCGATCGCGCAATTCTCGCCTCTCCGCGATAAATCTATAAAAGATAGAGATAAATAATGACGATCGGCATGGTTATTAAATTATTCGGAAAATCGTGCTGAATTTCCAGGTGGAATAAAGATAGAAGTTTCTTAAGTAACAATCCGTTTTTTCACAAAGTGACAAAAAATTTTCAGGCGGCGGATACCGTGATCTCAGGAAATAACACTGGGTATAATGACGTAAACTTTGGAAGATTACATGGTTGTCTGATGAATCTATGTTCGAACTAAGCCGTGGACGCGGTGTGGGACTCCGGCTAGTCAAAATTCCTAATGGATTCGGAAGTCGCACACGAGCCGCGCCGAACTTCGTGAATATTTTTGTTAAACTTGGTTTCCTAAGTCTATCAGCCAGTTGACGAGAAGTCAATTAATAATTCAGAGTAGTAACGGCATACAGAGAGTCAGAAATCCTTTAAATACAGAATGAGCGAACAGTATTAGAACTCCTTCCTACCTGTTGTACCTCTGCTCAGGTGTAGGGTGGTGGCCAAAACTATTCAACTTCTCAAGAAGTTCCGCGAGTCGATCAACTCCACTGGATTGTGTGCTCATCGGTGTCACAGAGCGAGAACTAAAGATCGTAAAATATAGCTTAACTGGTTGGGCTACGCACGCTGATGACGTGTGCATCACATGTACTCAACCATCTATCTACGATCTTGCTTACAGGACGATAAAATAGACGATAGACACGGAGNGGGGGGGGGAGGGCTCAAGAAAATAACTCTGAAACGAAAACTTCGTTCTCTACACTACTATAAGTGTTAAATTGGTTTGGTCAGTGTTAAATTCAAGGTCGAATTTTCCTGTGATTGGGTTTTTCCATCAGCCTGCCTGTTAACCTGAACTTCGCGCTATTACCGATACCATTTCTGCAAATGTGCAGTGCATGGCTTTTTGCATCGGGAGGGAGGAACTTATAGCATCCTAAGCACAGATACGGCCTACTCATTCAACCACACAGCAACCCCTGCTCCTCCTCGTTTTCTAACTTGTGGCTTTATACTACATTTATATTTTATTCTGCGTGTTTTCGTCTTGAATTCAAACACATTTACAATCTTACCTTTGTTGCTCAATGGCTTCGGAAGCCTTATCCGTAACGACGGATCCAGATAAGACTGAGACGTTATCACTATCTTCGCTGAAATGAAACACAAATATAGTGGTTCATAGCAACGAAGCGCTACTACGATAGCGACTACGATAGCGGAGCTTTGGAATTCACCGACCTTGGCTGTTCCGAAGATGATTGCCTTTCAATTGACCTAGCAGCATCATCTGGACGGCTTTTCGAATCAATATGTCTGCTGTTCGATTTGGGCTTCACGTATTTATCCAAAACGCTGCGAACTCTCCTAATGCCATCATAGCCATCTATTACTTTCCTGGAGGCTCGAAAAGGCCTATAACATTTTCATTGACTGAGTTAGAACATAGACTACTGGCGAAGTTCGAAAATGTTAGAAGACATTGCGGTTATTGTCGGCTGTTGGTTTATTGTCAAGCATTTAATTTTGCTTTAAAAGACAAAATTTCATTCAAAAAAGACAGAGTAATGAAATTCTGATAACTTACTTCCTCTTATCAATCGCCTCCCCCACAAAAGACGTAGAACCATCTCGAGGTGGGTATTGGACAGCATTGCCTCCCATCTTTTCGATCATATCCAACAAATAATCTCGTGCAGCTAGATTCACATTCGAGCTCTAAACTCCTACTAGATAAATAGAAAACATCAAGCATTCAAGTACTCACCATTCCTCCTGGAACTCCGTTGCACTTTTCACCTTCAACTCGCATGCGTGCAATTGTCTTCCCTATTGTCGACGAATGCATTGACCCTACCGATTTTCCTTTCATGATTTTAGTTTTCCGACGCTGCCATGGATCGCTTCGAGGTGATGGTGTTTCTGTAAAAGCAGCCAGTGATTATATGGAAGCCACTAACAGAAGAACAGAAAAAACTAGGTCTGTTTACAAAAACAATAGCTGTTTTTCTTCGTTTCCGCCTTCATATGGTTTGAATAGTATCAGATTTGTTGCCTTCCCTTACTCAATCTTCAAACTATGACCCGAACACGTACATCTTCGAAAACTTCTCCTTATTAATTGACCGATGGGTTTCAATGACTACCTACATATCCTAAACGGCACCCGTCGTCCCCTTGACGCACTGAGACACGTTTATATCCACCATACACCCAACTACCATATTCTTTGTCTACAGTGGTTATCGAGTAGTTGTTACTGCGTCATTCATTTCGCGANTTAGTTTTCCGACGCTGCCATGGATCGCTTCGAGGTGATGGTGTTTCTGTAAAAGCAGCCAGTGATTATATGGAAGCCATTAAAAATGGCTAAGGAACAGGAAAAACTAGGTCTGTTTACAAAAACAATAGCTGTTTTCCTTCGTTTCCGCCTTCATATGGTTTGAATAGTATCAGATTTGTTGCCTTCCCTTACTCAATCTTCAAACTATGACCACGAACACGTACATCTTCGAAAACTTCTCCTTATTAATTGACCGATGGGTTTCAATGTCTACCTACATATCCTAAACGGCACCCGTCGTCCCCTTGACGCACGTGAGACACGTTTATATCCACCATACACCCAACTACCATATTCTTTGTCTACAGTGGTTATCGAGTAGTTGTTACTGCGTCATTCATTTCGCGAAAAAGGTTCATAAATGAAATAAATTACTACCGAAACGAAGTCCGTGCGGAGTTCCTTGTCTGCTAATGCTATCTTCTGGTGCAGGGGATGACGTGCTGACCTGATCGCCATGAGTTCTTCCTGAATTCAGATTGTAAATAACACACAACTATTACGAATCGAAGCCCGGATTAGTTATTTTACTCGTTCCATTCAAAAGCATACCATCAATGCAAATTGATGTTGATGAGTTGGACCGAGCTGGACTCGCAATCGATGATAAGGATGTCACCTAGAAAAGTCAGTGGATCACTCCCAAGCCAAAGAGAGAACAAGGTAACTTTTACAGCTGTCAGCCAACTCAAATGACTTTACCTGATCTCTGGCGTTTTCAATAGATCTTCTGCTTGCGGTTAATGTGTCTTTTGGAGAGTTACATATCTCAGCAACAATTTCAACATCCTGAAACAGAAAATATTCGTGTTATGCAAAAAATGTGATCGTACTTTGCACATTTCTATTTTACTATATATCCTTCCTCATATAAACGCCACTTTCTACTATTTTTNTTTTTGATTATTCGTTCACCTAACCATCGTGAAACCACTGACTTCCATATTTCCGTAACTTTAGACATCGATTTATAAACTTATTGAATCAGAAGTGTTACTTTCCACCTCTCATGTTACTGAGCTTTCTCCAGATCAAATTTTACTAGTCTGCAGTTTCCCGAAGGTCCTTTGAAAGTTTAATTTTAAAAACTCATTGATTGTGCAGATTATGTACTAGAAATGACTCTGCTCACCCCTCTGTATAGTCATGGCGAAATACGTCTTGAACTTTGCAAATGACTGCCCAGCCCGCAGATTCCGGCTAAGCGCGTTACTGGGGTGGGGTTGACAACCTCTGAGCTTTTGTCGCGCAATTTTCAGAACGCACCTTGTCTTGATAACGCCTTAAACAAATTCTTATGCCATGGAGGTTCCTTACCTACACTCATTTAGCAGAAACAATCGAATGGGAACTTGTGAGTGAGATTTCCACTTTCTTCATCAGAACGATACTAGCAACAATTTTGATTGAAAGGTATTGGAACTTTATCAAAGAGTAATGCTCTACATTTCTTGCAATCAGCAAACCTCTTGATTTTGAATAGATGCACTTGAAGAAAGGCATTCAATACTCCAAATAAAACTCTTTCGAACGGCATTAAAACTTTAGACATTTCGAATAAACGCCGTTCCGACTTTTTCAAATATCCTAATTATCTTGTAGGAAACTGTTCCACTTCCTTCAACTGAGGTAACTCACATCAGTGTCTTCCTGTCGTTCAACTTCTTTCACGATTTGAACAATCTCTGCTTCCTCTTCATCCTCATCTTGAACCTCAACACTACAACATGGCTGTGTCCCCAAGTATACCACATCGTTAACTCTTTCTAACTCATCCGAGTCTGATAACTCGATAACGTCCGGGCGTTTGACCGATCCCTCACGCTGAAGAAAAACAACGAAATGAATGAAGAAAAATAAAATGGCGGAAANAAAGAATAGAATAAAAACTATGGTAATAACCATTTTGGTTGCTGATGACGGCACTGTTGTCGACTCTTCAGCAAAAACTTCCACTTCTGAATCTTGGGAATCACCTGAGCTTCTGGTAAGGTCTATTACCGCTGGTTTAGCAGGGAAAGCTAAAATATTTTCGAAGAATCATACTATGGCTGAATACATTAAGTAGCACATAAGGTGCCGTGAGCTGTGAGTTCCTCACAAAATACTTTTACTAAGGGACTTCAACGAGTAAAGAATTTAAAAAAAAAGCAGCGTTCACTTACTGAAACGATTCTTCCCAGCACTTCTATTCGACGACATTGTAGTTTCAATGCCGTTCGCCCTTAACGATGATTCCCCTATTCTGTCCTCAATTTTGAGCTCGTCGCCGTCTTCACCACTTATTAACCTGTATACGGCCTTTACTGGGTTGAAGAAGAAGTCACCTTAAACAACAATGAAATGAGACAGGAATGCCAGCAGAAAAAAAAAACACAAAACCTGGAGAGAAAAATTCAATGTTACATGTTTAATAAACTTTCACATTCGAAGTAAGTTTAAAGGAAAATACTCATAAAAAATGAAATTTGTATAGTATTCCAAAATACTCAATGGATTCCTTCTTGGGTACGATAATCAGAAGAAGAAAAAATGAGAAAGTTGAAAAAATGAAAAACTAACTAAAGGAAAAGGAAGCTGGGGATGTCTTCCTTCGTTTTGAATTATGCACACCACCACTGCTGTAGCTCGTTGAGCTCACCAGCTCACGCTTACGTACTAAAAGAGATTATCGATGAAGTAGAACTGATTAAAATCGACTATCATCGAGGCATGACCAATCTCACATGAATCGCACAAAACCCTATACCTCGTCTATCACTACTGTCTTCGTTACGTATGTCAAGTCGTGGCCTCCGCGAACTACTTCGAGAACGACTGCGTCTATGTGTTGACGGAATTTCATCGCCAAGCGTCCATCGACGCATAAAATTCATTCTGAACATTGTACATTGTCCTGGATTCAATAATTTTGTCTTCAAAAAGTCAAATTTTGCAACTATCGCGTTCAACGCGTTTGATGGCTGTGTTTAGACTTTATATTGAAGAACAATCTGTCAGTGTTTAAGACCTGGTTGGAAAATTTACAAACACGTCATGAGTTCAAATTTTCTTTTCACAACCTACAAAATACATGCTCATATGAGTAAGACTTTAGCATACCTAATAAGAATTTCAAAAATAATACGACACCCCGATATTTATTTGAATAACTGAAAAAATCTAAAATCACAGTTTATTTCAAAGAGTTTAATCTGAAAGACCCAAGGCTAAACATTTTTTAAAACTTACACAACACCGTAAAAGAAGGGAGAAATATGCACTAGAGAGGGAGAACAACTACAGCCGGAACCGATGCCGCGGATAATGACAAACTCTGTTTCAAATTTTGAAACATTCCTGATTGTTCAGCTTACCTGTTCGAAACCAGCTCTGTTGGCTTGTCACTCCTTTTGCTTTAGCAGTTTCACGTAAATGAAGATAAATAAGTAGTCAAGCTGAAACTATGTTGTCACATAAAGTTGCCCTAATTCGCCCCACTTCTAAAATAAAAGGTCATCGACCTCTAGGACACTACAGAACACATCACAGTAGAGACTTTCTTGCAAATGAACGCAATGACGTAACGTCAAACAACCAAAGTAGTAATCAAACAATTATTCAGCACGAAGCCCTAAAAGCAAATAATTAATGTAACGAATGAACAACCACGTGTGATGAACCTCTGAGTGGGAAGGAGAGTAAACGGCAAAAGAAGAGAAGAAAAAATTGTTAAAAATGAACATGAATCCATTCTATTCCTTTCACCAACTGAATACTATTATCAATTCATCACCACCACAACAAATACAGAAGAGTAGTAAATATGAGAATGTGACGTGTATATGTATAGAATGTACGACGGAACTCGCGATGATCACCATTAAAGTGTTAGAACATTTCAAAGGGAGTAGACGCGAAGACTCTTGTCCATTGATGTTGAGTACAAAGAACGTGCATGAGCTCCAAACCGTACTGCCGTAACGGCTGCAGTATGCGTTTCAAACGTCGCAACGACCTGGAAGTAGTGTTGGTAAACAAATCCGCATGTACTAGGTGAATTAACTTTAAGAACCCAGAAAGTAAAATCAACATGCGTTCATTTCTTGAAACTATCCCTTCCTTATAAGCTTTGTTTTTAAAGAAAAATACGACGTAATTTTTAGACTTTTGCCTTTATAACACCGAACAACAAATCAATGGAGCTGGAGAAGGTGGGCAACTTTTTGTAATAAATGATGCGCCTTCTGCACATTGTTCAATCATCTAATTGAAGTAATCTATGTCCAATGTCGGACAATTGGTCATTGCCTTGACGAAAAATGTGAAAGTATCATTACTCAAGCTGTTAATTCTCAACCAATAAAGTTCGAAAACACAAACCTGCCAAGATTTGACATGCAGCACCTCCACATCACAAGATCCTACTGCCAGGTACGTTCCAGAATGATCGAAACAAATGTTGTTGATGGAGTGCTTGCCGTCATGCAGACTCAATGTCTTCAAATTCTTCAGCTTACGCAAATCCCATAATTTGAGCTGAAATCAAACCACAATTTTTGTCAGAGTATGAGCATTACTTTGATACGTAAACTAGAGGCTGGTATTTGACTAAGTTTGTCTTAGAGTAGGAACTCAATAAATAAGTCATTTTACCTCGCCATCTTCCGCGCCAGTGGCTAAATAATAACCATTCTCCGAGAACGCGATCGCTCGGACTGCGCCTTGATGACCGGGGAAGTTAGCAACATTGGTTTGCTCTTTCAAATCCCAGATTTTTACCTGAACACAGTTTTCTGCACAACACATTACAACAATTCGTACTACAAGAAAAACTATCGAAATAAATGTGCTCACGACAGCATCTGCAGTTCCGGTACCGAAAATCAAACCATCAGGATGGAATTGGCCACAGCAAACCGCAACGGATGAGTTGTCATCTGCGCGAACCTTCAACATCAGAATATCACTATCAATCCCAATTTTCTGAAGCAAATCCGCCAAGTGCTGCTACCCTCATAGAACAACATGGCGATCATGACACATGAATCCGAATATTTCAGGGTGATGAACCAGCTAATAATCCGCCAACTTATGATAAACTAGCCATGGGCGACCGTATCATTGCCCATTAAAGATTAAAATTAAATCATTTACAAATACTGTGCAGAGGGTGTGATTCAGTATCCGCATAATAGTCTACACTAAAAAAATACAAATGGCGGTAAGCTCTTTTGTTTCACAACCCTGTCCATATCCAAATAATCTTCCACTGAACTGAACTGAACCCCGATTGGACCTAATGCTATTGCAAATCTGTCAGGGCGCTCAAGAGAACTTGTCGAACCTTGCAGAGGGTCTTTCCTGTATTGACATCACTGAGAGCCCAATGAGAATCATCTGACACAGAAAGGACATAGTCTCCAGTTGCGTGAAGTGAGATATCTGAACACCGAAATTGGTATATTATCACTAGAAACTTAGCTGCAAGCATTTACCTGTGACTGCTGCTTGATGAATGTCGATTAGAGCTTTACAGCTTTCTTCACCTGTTGTCCACACTCGCACCTTAATTAGGGCACCGTAAGTCATATTATTCAGGATTTTACTTTGAGGAGATATTTCTTGCTAGGCATCCAATCATTAACCAACCTGAGCATCAGAACTCGCAGAGATGGCGTTCTTTGAGTTAGGATGTAGAATGACAGCATTGATTTTCTTCTGGTGTCCTTTGAAAACGTCTTGAACTTGTTCCTTCTCAGAATTGAACAAGACAACAGTTTTATCTGCACCTCCAGTAAGCACCAGTTTGCCCTTAATCGTTATGTACTCCTCCCATCTTCAATTACAGAAACTACCACTAAAAACACCTGGACATCAAGAGCAGTAACTCCCGGAACACCGGTGCTGTGGATTCCAGTATGACAAGCTGATTCTCGGAATGACGCAAATTCGTCCTGTTTTGTGAGCTCCTCCGGGAGGTTCTTTCCTCGCTGTTTACGAGCTGCCGTCAAAGTTTTTGCTTTCTCATCTAAGCGAGCCAGGACTGCCTCCGATATGCCTGAATCGAGTACCTGGCTGCGACGCATACAATTTCATATTGATTAGACTTTATGAAAGATGATTCACAAAAAAATTACCCTGAGCCTCATCTACGCTTTGCTCCATATCAATATCTCCAGCAGTATGTGCCACATTAGCAGCATGCGGCTTAAGGGTCGAGAGCGCTTCACGAGCAGCGGTTAATTCTTTGGTAAGACGGGCAATCACACGGCAAGCGGCATCGTGCTGAAAATAAAGCTCTATTACCATTTTTGTAAAACGAGGCATATGCGACTGCATTTCTTCTGCAATTATTCAGATTGCAAAAGATTAAACTTCCTATTTCCAGAAGAAAAGGTAACATTGAGCCTCCCTACTTCCTACATTATCTTCAAAGAGAGAACTTTCGTTCCTAATTCAACTTTTATTGAAAAAAATCGCTTTACGGAAGGAATTGTCAATTAAGGCTTTCTCAAAGATGGAACGGTATAACAACTAGTGAGTGACTAAAAGGCAAAAGAACTGAAAGGGATAGAACTGAGAGAGATGTGGCTCTACAGAAAGACGCATTAGAACCTAGACTTTGAAGACCTTTGACGTTATTTACCTGGTAGAGTGAATGCGAAAGTTCTTGACGTGCAGTCTGTAACTGTTGTCGAAGTGAGAAGCTGTTCAACATCACGCTATCCCATTCGTCTTGTAACATCTTCAGAAGCGAAGGAATTGATGTTCCAGCGACATTACGAGGCGTAGTGTCTACCGCACCCGTTTTCAGCGGAATTAACTTAAATAATGAATAAAAGGCTCAAAAACAGCATCAATAATAGGGCAATAGGTACCTGTTTTTCGTCCAACGACTCATTAGTAACCGGATCGACTCCATTTTCGACAATATACTTCAAAATAAGCCGTTTCTCATAAATGTGCCCAGATGGAGCAGCTACAGGCTCTTCAGCAGGCTCTCCACTGATTGCACACGTAAATACCATCCTGCTTCAACCCCAGTAAGATAAATCAAAGAAGATTTACACAGAGACGACTATTCGAAACAAGAAGAATGAACATAAGACGGCCAGGAAAACTCTAAAAAGTACTTCCAGCAAATAGAAAGCCTTATGGGTTCTTCCACTAAACGATGAACAGATCGCAAAGAATCTCTTAAGGCAGTCTTTACGACTATTGGAACCACAACAACACAAAATAGTTTGCTAAACGCTATATAAAAATGCGGCATCCAAAAGTGCGCGCATTTGCAATTGGGGCGCAACATCTGTGGCTAAAGCGCAGGTGTCTTCTGAAATAGCGTAACACTAAATGATGGCGCGGAAAGGTCACAATACAGTGTTCCCATAATACAGAATTCGGAATCAAGTATAGAATCAGGCCAGCGCTCACAGCTTCAGCCGTAATGGTGAACAGCACACTTGCAGGATCCCAGTATGCTCTACCGGGTATGGGTACTTACGTGCGTCCGAGCATGCGCGCGGTAAATTACGCGGCGAAGTGCGTGGTGATTCGAACGACTCTAGGGCCTATCATTGGGGCCCAAACTCGAAGTAGAGTAGTTGAGTAGGGTCAGCCGATACTACTAATCTACTCTACTTCAAATTTGGGTCCCAATGATAGGCGCCAGAGTCGTTCGAATAACCACGCACTTCGCCGCGCAATTTGCCGCGCGCATCCTCGGACGCACGTAAGTTCCGTCCCCCTGCTCTACCGGGAAAAAACGTGGTTCAAGAAAAAGGTCTTCCATGTGGGCGTGGCATCCACACAACTCGTCATCGAAAAGCATTGAAAAGCTGGGCTGCGCTGGATTGATATGACAAATGTGTGGGGGATCTGCATCTGTGTGCATGAACATGATGGTAGTATCCCGCTAAATGATAAAGTTTGAACTTTTTCAAGTGGCGCCTTCACTTTTCGGCAAATTGCGGACGAGTTTATCTGCGCAGGACGAGTTCGCGTCGACACAGTTCCATGCCCTAGCCGTTTTCGTTTTGCTGGGTTCTTTTGCATATATTGCAGTTACCATTTGCTGAAATACAACGCGGAATTTGTTTTTCTTGGTCTATATTGATGAATTCCAACTCCTATGTTTTCATTCTAGTTATATCTCATGGTCATGTGAGACTTTCTCGCAGATTTCAATAGCTACTCTCTTGTACAACGTTTGCAACCTTTTTCGTATTCATGGATATCCAGGAATACATTAATTTTAGGTGAAATTTTGGGGTGGTAACAGCGACCATGTATGACTCCGAAGAAGACGGGGATCGACGTAATCGAGACAAGTTTCCACGAGAACGAGAAAGTCGTCGAGAAGACGATCGGTAACGTTTTGTTCATAGATTTAGTGGTAGTTTAAGTAACAACTTCTTCTTCAGCTTCTTCGGTTCTCAATGTTAGATAAAAAGTCAGAAAATATAATAGATTTCTTCTTCGCCGTGAAGTAGTGATGGCATGGCTTGGTCGCAATACTCGCTCTCACATCTTATTTTTATTCTCGAAGATTTATTGTGCTAAATGCTTTTAGCGCGAATGTTTTACATTCCTTTTTGTTCAACGGCGTCATCAATATTCTTTTGTTGCCTTCTATGATGGGGTCGTACTTAGGTTCTTTGCGTAGCTGTTTACGAAATACATCAATGGTTCGACAGCAGTGAGAGACTACTTTGAATTTGTTTTCAGACGTTACTGCTGCTTTGAATAAAAACGTTACTGCTGCGAGAGCTGCAAGAGAGTGGAAAGAAAAATTTAGTGGCAAATAGCGCTCTAGACTTTTTCCCAGCAAAATACGCGGTGAAAAGAATAGAAAGCCAGCAATGGCACGTTTGCCTATTATGCACTATTGCTATATCGATGACTGCTGTTTAATCAACTCTTCATATTTTGTGATGGACGAAATTTTTTTAGTAGTCAACTAATTTAAGTTGAGAAGAAAAATTCTGCGAGAACGATAGATTTCTCATTTGAGTTACAGCGGAAAAATTCAAATGTAGTGAAATTTAGTGTATGGAGGGTTCGAATAAATTCCCACTACATGCAAAGTATTCGCATTTTGGAGCTATGGAGCGGAAGCTGTTCGTCACATTTATAGACTCGCATCTGGACTATGACAGTCGACGACTTATTTTGCATCTGAGATTGAAAATGTCATTGTTGGACACGTTCCTTTAAGATAAGCTCTAAAAGGGGCATTCTCATAGAAATGGCGAGAGTGCAGCAATTTCGCGTGGCTCTGCAGAAGCATACACGGAACATGTTGTTTTGGATAGTAGAGACAACAAATACAACAAATGCCGGCTAATTTGTAGCAGGCTTTATCATAGCTCATTCTCTGCGGACGACTGGGAGGTATGGAGCCGGTACCAAGCGAACTGTGCCCAATTCAATGAAGAAATAAATACATTTGTGACATTGCAATTTTGCCAGTAATTGCAGAATTCTCGTAAGCGAAGGCTACTTCGACGCTGTTGTATGTTCGAAGTCAAAGCTGAACACGTGTATTGCAAACGAGATCGTGTATTATCTCATGGCTGCTTAGCCTCATTTGTCCGTTACTAATCACATGATGGGATAGGGACATTGAAACTATGAAACCACAAAGGATCGACCTGGATGAAATTTTCCATGCTCGTGTTTGTTGTATTTGTTTAATTCTACTGAGTTCGTTTGGGCAGCTGACTGGGTAAGCTACAGATACTAAAACATTTCCAGTAAAGCCCCTCCATCATAAGAGAATTGCACGGCACACCAGTGTAAAACACTGTTCAAAACACTTGGTCTCAGAAAGAGTGAGCATGATATCGAAGTTCCTTTGTTAATCTCCTCATTGAATATTAAATATTAAGGTATGGTACGAAAAGGTCAAGTTCTTCGAGGCGCGATGATGGCAAACGAGCTCGACATGGGTGAGCATGTTTTGAGTTATAGCTATTTTGTTGCTCCCTTCCCAATGCCTTGACATTCCCTAATCATCTAGCAGTGAATCGGACAATGGTGACGCGAAAAACGATGATTTCTCTGGACCTATGCTTACATTCAAGAAGTTCCTTATGACACAGGTGATGTTCAAGTAATTCTTGGGTTACTCGGTAGTTCGATTTGATTTTGTTCAGGAAGATGACATATCGGACTCTGCTGCATTGGCTGCATATAACGAGTACAAACAAGAATACAAGCGAAAAGAGCTTCAGCGCTTTTTCGATGCCCATAAAACGGAGGAATGGTAATTATTAGCAAAACTCGATCATTTTTCTCGGCGAAAATTTTGTTAAACTTCTGTGTTCTGATTGTTCTGAATGGCCTGCTGTTTCCCTCAGGTTCCGTCACAAATATCATCCGGAAGAGTCGGCAGCAATTCGTGATGCACACATGGCTGACATTAAGAAGCGTCTTGAAATTTTCAACGACATGAAGGCAAAAGGCTGTTTCGACGATTTCACATTGGACCTGCAACATGCCCGTGAAATCATTCGTACCATGGACACTTGTAAGTTTCGGTGATTGAACTTCCTTCACCGTATCCCTAACCGTTTTATCAATTCAACTTTTGAAATTAAGAAAAGTCTGTATTGCTACTACTTCTTTTTTCAGTGGTGGTGCGCCTTGAAGGTGGCTCGGAGGAGGACGTTGAAGCCTTAAAAAATGAGAAAATTGAAGACGACTCGTTATTTGATTTGGGAGAAAAGAAGTCTGATGAAGACACTGGCGCAGATAAGGACGAAGCTCGAGGATCAGAGAGCGAGGGTTGGCTTTACCCTCACGATTGTTGAACCTAGAATTAACGCGCATTAGAATATGAGAAATTACTGGTTTTAGTTCTTCTCTCTCGTACAAACTTCGTAGGCATTCTTCAATAACGTTTTCATGTTTTTCATGTTCAGTAACCATTTTCCAACCTTTAATCCCTTTATTCCTTTCGCGCTACATGCTCACACGCGCATCCGATCCCACATTTTATGGAGTCAAAGCTCTGAATTTTTCGTCATTAACACCTTAACATTGATGCCGGATACATGTAATATTATTTCGAAATGACCCGATTTTCAGCAAATGAAGAAGGTCGTGAGAAGCGTAAAAAGACGTTGTTGCACAAAACTAGTTCCGTTTTCATGCGAAATGTGCCTGCGACAGTAAAAATTGCGGACTTAGAAGCGGTTTGTTCATTGTTTTTCTCCTGTCTTGTAAGTTTGTTTAGCTTTCCTATATGATTATTTTTTTTTGCAGATCTGCAGCCGTAGCCCAGGTTTTCTTCGCATAGCACTGAGTGAACCGCATGCAGACCGAAGTTTCTCGCGTCGTGCTTGGGCAACTTACAAACGAGATGTTAATATTAAGGAGATATGTTGGACACTGAACCAAACTAAGGTGCTCACTGTTTAATTCTTCTCTGAGTACAATGGTGGGCAGGAGTTCATGCCCTTTTTCCTTCTCATTTGCTACTTTTAACAATTATCATATAAAGGAACCAGTTCTCTGTTTAGCTTAATGACTCTACGGATTTGAGTGTGATTCTTAATCGTGATCTCACGCGCCGCATTCGTGGAATAAGTGGAGTGACTTCTCATAAAGATGTGGCTCAGAATGATATCAAACAAGCAGCTAAGGTAAGACGTTTGTAGAGAATTCATTTCATGTAATTTGTAAAGCATTAGAAATTGTAGAATTCAGTTGTTATGAAATTTATGTCTCTATGAATGCTGTTCCCTTACAAACAATTTTCAGCTCGTCGCGCTAATGGATAAACGCATCGGCCTGTTTTGCGAAGACGAACCGAAGGAGGAACGTGATAAAGATATATTCACGGGTGTTGATCTCGTGGCGACATCGAAAAACCCTCTGCTGAGACAGGTTGGGGATGAAAAGGAAAAAGACTATGGAAAAATGAGAAACGGATGAGGACATTGGAAATGGAATTGTTTGGGGAAGATGAAGAGAGTGACTCGAAGGAGAAATATATGGAACACGATAAAAGAGAACATTTATAGTTGGATCTTTCATTAAGGTTCGGCCGGTGTTGAGGGAATGCGACGAGCCGAGCCCAGAAGAAGAGGAGATGCTGGGTAGGTGCAAAATAGTGTCTTAATGTTGTACAGATCTGGAGAAGTGCTTGGCTCTTCCATGTATAAGAGCGATTTCCATTCGTAGGTCCCTCGAAGGGAACTCCCCCCCCCCCCCCCCCCCCCCCCCCCCCCCCCCCCCCCCNCCCCCCCCCCCCCCTCGCCCCGCCCCTCCCCTCTCTATCTATAAGGGAAATTAAGTGGAGATGGGCTTAAATTCGTAATTGATCAGGAGCGCAACTTTATACAGCCAATCTAGGGACCATCTGGTACTCTTCCAGTAATCCGAATGAATTATTGTAGAAAATGAGATTATTGATTTTCCGCGAACGTTGTCGAGATTGGCGGAAAAGGTCTTATAGACTCATAATATGGGAACAAATGCTGGTTTCTGAATAAGACTCAAAGATCACACAGGGAGTTAGTCGTGGGAGGAGTAAAAAGATCCACGTAACTCTGCCCGATGTTGTTATTATACAGCTTAAAAACATGCCGTTTTCTTCACTTCTCCCGCCCAATCATTTAGTTAAGTTATGTCTAGGAAGTAGAATGCGCCCAAAAGGGGAGGTCCGCTAAAGACATCTGAAAGGCCACCAGAATCCCAACCAGCAGAGACTATATATTGTTGTCAAACGATGTTAGGTGTGAGATGAGATTAAAGTTAAGATGGAAGCTTTGCAAAGCGCAGCCCTCCCATCAAACAACTGAAGTATTCTACTCGGGTTTTTGGTAAGGTTCGCCCTGAAGGTGAGGTCGAAGGAGCTTTGGAGCTAAAAGTTTTACATGTTCTCAGGTTAGGAATGAGAAAGGAATATGTAATTGAGGATAGAGATCATTAAACGCTCGATTCGCTACTGACTTAAGAAAAACATTTTTCAAGCATTTGTGAAGTATGCGTCAACATCTCATCATAGTCCTACTCTTTTGTAAAGTCAAATTTGTGTGAGGGCAATAACAGTGAGTCACTGCAAACTTAGCCTCAAGAAATCAAGTTCCATTGAGCCCGATAAAATTGACAGGAAAGGGGTTTGTTATCCCGAAGCAAATTCATTGTGAGATTCGGGCGCTGGATGTTTTAGTGTTTCATCTGTTTTTTATAGACAGTGTGAAGTTTGGACCTTGAGTTGGTGACGAGTAATCCTTGACGAGATTAGTGTAATTTTTTGTAGAAAGCTTGTCTTAAGCCCTGCTGAAATGTGTCCCATGTATTTTTGGTATCATCCTTATTTTACCACGATATAATACTATTGAAAAACCCCTTTTTAATGAAATAGTGTTAAAAGGTATTTGAATGCTATCAAAACTTTTGTCGGAGCATGATAAACTGCAGCAAAAGGGGAGCCCATCTACTAACCATGCGTTAAGTGCAGTTCATCTGCTGAAACCACCTGTATCGTAGACTAGTTCTATCCTTGTCTAATCTTAGAGAGGTTAGCAAAAACAATTTTAGACTCATGGAGAGCCTAGCATACCTTAGTATTACTGTTAAGCTGGTGTAGGTATTGGATAAGGCTAACAGCAGTGGGAATCATGATAGGAACTGGAAAGGCCAACGTAAATTGGTTATTGCAGGAATTTCCCGTTGTACACCTTCCACACCAGCTGCTGCGGCTGATGAGAAGATCCCATTCGTGCGAGACGAAACCTTATTGCACGCTCTGGACCTGTTGATTCTATACCTTCGTATGGTGCACTCGATCGATTTCTATGGTCACATTGAATACCCCAATGAAGACGCAATGCCTAACAGGTATGTTCAACTGCACTTCTGAGCCGTTCTTAGAAACACTGACTTCTGGAAGATGTTTGTAAGCAAGCTGGTGTTGTCGTTACTCTGCTTTCCACTGTGACACGAGATCCATTTTTTGTATTTGTATAAATCTGTTTTTTCCAAACTACTTTGAACTTTATTTACTTTTCACTTTCAGGTGTGGAATGTTGCACGTGCGTGGTGTATTACCCACCCAGTTCGGTAGTGCAGAGGATGGAACGAAGCTTGTCTCAACCAAGTTCAATACGGTAAAGTATTTTTTCGATTTCATGGATCAAAATATTTGGATAATACGTGAATTATGTTTTAGGCTGGGTTTACGCAATGAAGGCATACTGAAAGTTGATGGTCAATTTCTTTTTACAGGAGTTCATCAATGGGTTCAACCACCGTCTGGAAGGTGGTCTCATGCAAGCTTCATATGTCACACCTGATGAAATGGAGAAAATGGGCAAAAAGGATGGCGACAAGTGAGTATAATGTTTAAGATTGTCCAAATGTGCCTCTTTTACTGAAGGAGTTGCAGATTTGTCTCAAAATCTTTTTCAGAGAGGTTGAAGCATTCATCCAAGCAAATACTGTCGAGTTATCCCAAGATAAGTGGTTGTGCCCACTGTCTGGTAAGAAATTCAAAGGACCCGATTTTATTCGTAAGCATCTCACCAGTAAGCACGAAGAGAAGCTGCGTGAAGTGCGCGAAGAGGTTCGTAAGATCCTAGGCGAGGAGATGCAGATAGGCCAAAATTTTTGGATATGTTGAATATACACTTCTTTCAAGGCCGCCTTCTACAACAATTACTTAGCCGATCCGAACAGACCGGTTAACGTGGAGGTGAAACCCGCTCCTCCGCCTCCGCGAGAGGAAGAGCGCCGTGAAGATAGATATAGTAGGTTTTATTACCCAAATTTATGATTTTTACGATTTTTACTTATAATTTACCATATGTAATAATGTTGGTAACCAAAGCAGTACTCCAGAGCTTTTGTTTTTGCGGATTCCCTTCTAATAACTCATATCAATAGAGTTGGTCAAATTGTTTCCAGGAGATCGCAATGAACGCAGTGACAGAGGCGGAGATCGTAGCTATACGAGTAGCGCGGATCGCAGAAATCGTGGTTACGCAGGCTTTGGAAGTGGTGGACCTGTTCGCGATCGTGGTCCACGTTTCACACCCGAATCGACACGACCGCTGACCTCTTATAGAGACCTTGATGCGTTTCCAATTGATTAAATGGTCTGTCCATAATTTATTTTTTACTGTTATCTCATGCTGTATTTCACATTTAAAAAAGTATTTTTTTAGTTTATGTTTACAAAATTGTTTTCCGTTCATCTATATGAAGTAGTGATGTTTCCATATTTTCACTGGTTACCGTTTTCATTGTTTGGTCGACAAGTTGTTCGAGAGAAGTTGTGAACTGCTCTGATCTTTGTTCTGAGCTCACTGATAGTTTTGTGTCGATCATTGCAGGACTAAAGTTAAGGGTTACTGTTAGGTAAGTTAGGAACTACCAGCCCGGTATTCAATGCTGGATGTGAAACATAAAAGATCATGCATGTACCGACCTTGGTTAGATATACATCGGCAGATCTTATGATAAACTGTTGTTCATCTATTTTGCCCCTTCGTGATTGTAACTCTAAAAAAATTGTTAAATAAATCGTTGACGAAATTGTGGAAAGTAACTATTTGGAATAGAGTAGCTTTCATCACCAGACAGGTGTGCCACCATATATGGCAGGACACGGAACAGTTTCGTTCGGTAAGAAGTTTTTTTTTTTTACCGAATCGGTTGAGCTTACAATAAATTAGGGCTCTCTTAGTATAAAGCTCGAATTATGCTTGTTTTCGAAATGAACGCAGTACAAGATATCAACTGGAAGGTGCTCGTTGAATTCCTTTCTCTTTTCGTGCACTTCTAAATACCTGAATCAACGACAAACCGAATCCAACCCGAATCCAGACGCTATCATCTGAGTGGGCAAGATATGCCGTTCCCAATCGGAGGTCACTCCTCCTACCATCTTTTTCGTGTGCAGGTGGCACACGCAGACTTTGTAGCTGCTCCGTAATTCGATGGGTTCATCGTATCAGTATTCGTCTTCCAAATCAGAGCAAAAGGTTTTAGAAGTGTTTGAAAGAAAACCAGATGGGCTGCGGTGTGTGTTCACGGAAAGGTAACTAAAAAAGGGAGATCGGCAATTGAAAAGAGATCGTTTTAAATAATGTCACTGACTGTAGACAGTGAAATTTTGAATAATGTGCGAATTGATGTGTTGGGTGCTTCTATCACTTCGACAACTCCCACCCGAAAAGATCGTTTTGTAAAACTTATGGAATGAGATGTTGCTTTTATGTGATACGCTTTATATAAAATGCGTCTTTTCCTAAAAATAGGGTAGATCCGGTGAATGGGATGGGCGAGGCTAGAGCATACGTGTGCTTCAATAGAACCCTACTCCTCAGTTGCTTCTACAATATCCGCAAAGCCTCTTTACATACACCAGCAAAGTCCTTGGGCCTATACGACGTCAATGAAGATAAACAAGTGGTCCACGATCCTTGGATGTCGAGTAGGGCGAGCTAAATTCCCCATCTGGGTGAGCCAATTTGTGTCCAATTGTAATTACTTCACACCTTATTCGCTCATCTACCCAGTCGCCTGAGGTGGGTGACCTCCCTTAATTGGTTGGCTGGTGACCTCTCTGTCAGACAACTAGCCTCACGTCTAACAATATCGGTTGTGTGAGTGAGAAACTTCGTTACATTCAAAGCATGAAAACCAAAATAAAGCAAAACGAAAAATATAAAACGCGTAAATAATAAAACAAAAGAAGGTGTGGAGGCTAAAATAACCACTGGAAATATCATAAGAAAAGGGAAAAGGATTAATCGCATTGTGTAAGTATTCAGCATTCATTCTCACAAGAAGCCTGCAGGCAAACTAGTTAACAGAGTGACCCTCTCCACTTTTTTAAACCCTGCATCGCTTTCTTTGGACACCGCCAGTAGGTAACTTGAAGGTGTTTAAACATGTGGGTGAATGCATCATAAATCACCTCTGCACAGTGTTTGTCATCACATGAGCACGATGTCTGACTTGTACTACTTTTGCTCCTTCTTATTTCTACGAATCCTTATATTTAGCTAGCCCACCACGATACACTGTACTACCTCTATTTCATGTATTTGAACCCCTTTCACCCCTTGCNCCCTCTGCACAGTGTTTGTCATCACATGAGCACGATGTCTGACTTGTACTACTTTTGCTCCTTCTTATTTCTACGAATCCTTATATTTAGCTAGCCCACCACGATACACTGTACTACCTCTATTTCATGTATTTGAACCCCTTTCACCCCTTGCACCTCCCCTTTCTGTTCCCTCGAGTGCTGTAGCTCCGAATTCCTTTTATTTACCTTCAGCGCCCGCAAGCACAGTGAGCTGTGAACCAAAACCTTCCGTTTTCCGAGACCCTAGGGGCAGCTACGGCTACTACAAACCCGGGGCACACCCAAGTGCCAACATATGTTAGCGAAAGGAAGGAAAGCAAAAGTGGGAAGCATGACGTGCTAATATACCGGCTTCCAGGCGCAACACGTTCTCTAACGTTCTACCGCGAGTACATAGGCAAAAGCTATTTTGAAATGTGAATAATAATAACATTATTATTAACAATAAATATTATACTATTATTATAATAATAATAACACAACAAGAAAGACTTCAATTTATGAAATCAATATCAGTACACTGATGTGAGACTGCCAGAAAGGTCACCATCCAACCAATTAAGAGAGGTCACCCCACAGGAGAGTGGTGGATGGGCGAGGAAGGCGCGAAGTAATTACAATTGGACACAAATACCGACTCCCTCCCCATCTTGGTTCTGGAACCTCAAGGATACGGGAAAATTGAGGAGTGGATAATAAAGCCAACAATGGGTGAAACCGTGGTTTGCTTGGTTCGAAAATGGTGAAAGACAGTCGCGAGGCTACGAAGTTGAGCAAAAGACAGGCTTCAGTCATACAAGAGTTAGGCAGACAACCTTTTTTGGCAGAGTGTATTGGGAAATAGAGATCTCACTTCAAAGGATCTTACTTAGCCAAAGCAAATGTGGGGGGTTCGGCGAATATATGATTACCAAATTGGTAGAGGAAAGGATCACTCGCAGAGGGAAAAGGCGGAGGCAGAATAAGTGGTCCAAAATTTTTGGTTTTTATAACCTGCAAATCAAAAGGAAATCGCACCTGCTGAACGATTATCATAATCAAAACTAAAGATGTGAAAGGGAGACCTCAAAAGGGGTTCGTCACTCAGTCCAGAATGTCTTGAACAGAAACCCATCCTCGTTTTGATCGATATCAACCAAGTTTATCGTTTCTTTTTCTTGTTTCCAGTAGTGAATAATAAATTATGGATACGCAAAAATACATCTTTTTTGTACTTGATGCTTCTCCTAAATGCGGAACCGAAACTATAGTTTTGTTCTCACACGAGGGGTAATGCGTTGTAGCCTCTGTAGCACTACATAATTTGCTTACTAACCCTTTTAACCTTTAAGGGTAAGAATGTAAACGGGAACAATTCTGCTCTATCCCTTCATCTTCTGTGCCCAACGTGAAAGACGACTAACCGACATTTCATTTCACTTTCTACTGTATTCCAAAATTGTTTGTCTCGTAGCAATGTTTCAAAAGGGGAGTAATTTCTCAAATAACCGCTAGAACAGCTACACTGCTGTTAAGAGAGCCTTAAATGTTTCATTCTCCACATCTCGCAATGCTGATGTAAAGAAGTGATAATGAAAACATACTTGATAGGTTGTATGAGAACCCCTCCAACGAAAGCTTTTCATACGTGCCCCTGACTATCCCTCACCTTTTTATTCCACTGTTGAAATTTTTTTCAAAGAAGAGCACGAATTAAAAATTTTCATCACATACATCGGTACTGCACTACTGAAAAATAAAACTAGAATGCGACCATTGAAGGAAACGTAATGAAACATGACAATCAAGCTTGCTAAATTTCCCTAGGATCATCGGACACGGATGTTAGTGACCAAGCAGCGATCATTGCTTGTTTGCGGCCTCTTCCAGTTCTTGTACACGTCTTCGATGTCTCTCAAGAACCTAGAGAACAGCGAATTCAGTACGAAACAACCAATGCAAATTTAAATAAGAACATTCATGAAGGGAAAATGAGATTTGAATATCTCAGAGAATGAAAATGAAAGGAAGTCCAACTCACCGCCTTGTGATTTTCCACTTCCTTTTCATGATGCTCGATTTCTTGTTGAAGCTGCGCCTTCAACTCTTCGAGTTGCTGCTTTTGCTGAATGGCCGTATTTCACTTAACATTATCTCTCCCACCGTAAGCATTAGCAGAAGAAAGAGACATAAAGGGAGAAAGAAAGAAAATCAAACCACTAGCAGGAAATTTTACCATCTTATAAAAATATTCGTCTTCTCTAGCGGCTTCCATCTTACCGAAGGCGCCACCAGCATCACGAATAGAACCACCAGTGCCGCCTCCCTGAAATAGTTTTTAGTAGTAGGCAGACGAAGCAGTAACGTTTCAGTCCCCGGACCCGCTAATCATTAAGCTGAAGGTGAAATTTTTAAAGCAGGTAAAAATTTTGAAAAAAGTAAACAACCAACCTTCCCAACACCGTCACCATATCCACCAGACATTGCACGAAGAAATGTGCTGCAATTTTGTGATTTGGAAGTAAAATCATTATAATGTAAAATAAATACTGAGAACTTTTACAATAGCAGGACAGCTTAGGGTGAAAATGTAGTTGGGGGTGCCAGCGCCCATTTGTACTCCGCGTCTCTGACACTGGCGGCAGAGTGCATAGAGATCGCACAGATGGATTGCTCCCCTTCTAAAAGTTAGAGGAGGAGCTCCGGGGTGGGAGAGATGAATATTTCGTGCAAAAAGCTGGGATGGGGTAAAAATTGAACATCCAATTGGTTCGCCCACCCCGGAGCTCCTTCCCTAACTTTTGGAAGGGGAGGAGCTCCGGGGTGGGTGAGCTGATTAGATGGGTAAGAAATGAAGAGACGCAAAACACAAAAGGGTGCTGGCACCCCCCCCCCCCCCCCCCCCCAACTACATTTTCACCCAGCTTAGGGCTAATTATAGGAAGGGAGAGAGCTCGAAATTATAGGAAGGGAGAGAGCTCGAGAGAGCTCGACAACTTGGCACTGAGGACCATCAACAAAACACGGAATTCCTCTCAGGTGCACCGCTTTATTGCAACGCTAAGGCTAGAGCGGCTAGGCCTAGAACGCTGAGAAGGAAGGGTGACCGACATAACGAACCCATAACGGTGATTAAAAACGTCTCTTAGCCGGCAAATATATTTCTTTCCAAAAATAAGCTTTTAGGGGGAGGAGCACCTGGTTGGACGAGTCAAATGAGTGTTAAATTCTCAACTGATCCCGACTTTCTCATGGTGAAATCATCTCACATCTCAGGCCTCGGTAAAAATCATATTCCTTTGGCTAAGAACCTTCTTTGAGCACGAATAAGGTCATCCACTCTTCCTTCCCAATGCCACAACGCTCAGTGTTGGAAAAGGGCGGTAGCGTTTGATTCATGTGAAACTCTGACAAATTCGTCATTCTAAAAAGCTTGAATTTATCTCGACACTATATGGTAGTATATTCGCTACCATGTTTGGCGGACAACGACTCTTAATTAACAGCTTCTTAGATTAGCGAACTTTAGAAGTAGTTGGAACCCAAACAACGAGCTACTCACCTCTAGTCTGACCACTATTTTCTCAAACAACA